GTGATTACACACAGCTAAGCTGGCTCCCATTTTTAACACAAAAGCCACCAAAACAATCAGGATAAAGAGAGAGCGCAAAAAATCTTATAACAAATATTAAAGTGCACGCAAGGGTTTTTGCTATTAGTTCAAGAACGAAGTGGTAGGATTTTTAAGGTACTTAAAAAGGTTTCTAATTAGGTTTCTAATTCAGTTTAGTGAGCTCTTAAAGCCTGATATTAATATTCTTATCTGCTACTTAGAGTCCAGCATATGGTCCATAATTAGTTCCAGAATTGGTTTACCCTACGTAGAAGTAATATTTAGAGCTCATTAAATTATTTGCTTAGTAGGCAAACCCCGCTTAAATGGAAAGTTTAGAGCTTATTTAATAACCTATCGTTTATTACTTAACTCCTATTAGGTACACCCTCTGGCCGAGTCCTTGGTTTCTCTTCCTTCTGGTTGTTATTAAAATTTAATTAAATCGCCATCAAAGGGGATAAGCAGCAGCTTGTTGAGATGGCGATACTAAAGAGTTAGGCGTCATTCTGTAATGGTTAAGTGGACTTGCCAGTAAACTTCACTACCGGGCTCTCTCTCTCTCTCTCGGGGAAACTATCCGGGAATGCAGCGCCGGAGGGCAGCCAAGGGGGAAAAACAACGATGGTAGCCGTGATTACAAAGTACGTTCAGTCATTTAACTTTGACATTGCTGCGCTCCATTTGACGCACACTACATGTTCAGTATCGAGTTTATTCGCTATCCTACGATGACTGATTATATTTTATTTCAGAACATATTTATAATATGTTTGTTTATTTTTTCGTATTTTGATACTGTATCGATTTTTGACAAAAATGATTGAATTATGAAGCGCTATTTACCACTACTACATTGCGATACAATATTAAAATAACCGGATAATGAAACCAGAGTAACTTTTTTTAAACAGAAGTCAGAAGCTTTGAACGCTGTGAAAGAGTCATCATATATTAAACATATTCTTCATCAGAATGAACAGCCGAGTCGATCTAGCCATGTCTGGTCGAAATATAAATTTTTGAAATTTTTTCGAAATTTGAAAATTTTATAAGGTTACATCATTAAAATTGTCAAAAATTGGCAAAAGAGTATGTAGACTTATAGCGCTAATGAAAACTAAAATGGGAAAGCTTACCGAATTGAAATTAATACTTTTTTGGCTTAATTATGGCATTTACACAATGAAGATTTGTCATAAAAAATATGGTGCAGAAATCTTGTAAAATATTGATTTGGTGATAGCGATTATTTTAAGCTTAGTTATGATCAATTTCCAATTCGATCCTATTATTCAACTGCAATTATGTTCCGATAAAATAGATAATTTAACGTTATTAATTTTAATATTTAAAAATTCGACATCAAATTTCACGATATATTCGATATAATATTGGACTTTTCCTCTCTATGTACATCCCCTAGTACGTGAATGTGTCCCTTTAGTATCCTGCGCTGTTCCGTGCTCGGTAATTCGAGCTGGAAGCTATTTAATTAATGTTAAGCATTAAGCCCGATTATGTGGAATAAATGAGCAGAATAACCGGTGAGTGCGATTACGCAGCAAAGTTGGCTCTGGCCGGAACAGCTCGCTTAATGGCCAATTGGCTAAGAGTCGCTTTGCGAGTGTCGGAATAAGGATAAATCGATGCAGTTGACAGAAACTACTAAGCTCTCAATTAAGTCAGCCTTTAAGCTTGTTCTACTTGGTTCAGCCTTATCCGACTATAAAAGGCCAGGAACAACGAGTTAGTGAGTGCCACGGGGCTGTAAATAAAATCAATTTTAGCAAACTCACATTCAATGTGAGCATCAGGCAGCCAAACAAACAACAAAGACAAACAACGCAAACGCAACATGTGAAAAATGTTTGTCTGCCGCGGTAAATTATTCAAAAATTCCGTGTGCTCAGGGTACCCGAAAGTGATAAGAGCCAAGGCACTATAAAGGAAAGGAAGCCCACAAAAAATGTGTGTCGAACAAAAAGAATATAAAGTAAACAAGTAAACCAGTGGCAAAAACTTCAGATTGCAAATAACAAAGGAACGCAAACTCCGGAAAAACGGTAGCAGGGAGCCAAGGACCGGTAGAGGTAATCCAAGGCAGGGAAGACAGTCGCGAATAACTGATGGGAACACCCTGGGAAATATGCTTTATTGATTGGATAAATATTTAATTCACTTTCATATTTCAGTACAGAACACCTTTGGTAGCAGTGGGCGGCGGAATTTGCGTGTGAAATGGCTTATTACGGTCACGTTCTGCCCATAAAGGCAGCCAAGTGGAGGGGAGGCAGGGAAAGTTCGTTGCCACTCAGGTCTGGGCACTTGCAGCCCGGAATCTGACCACCTGTCGGAACCTCGGAAATTCACAGGACACTGGTGAGGGTAAATGTTGTGGAAACACAGTGACAACTACTCCACCAGGTCAACTTTAAACTGCTACAAAACAAAAGATTGACCAGAATAGAATAAAGTTAATGGACTTAGAGTCAGATATTGCTTTTAAAAATTGCATTTGATTCTCATATACTGGTATGTAACTCTTAGTATGAAGTATTTTTTGTATTACTATTGGAAGAAGTAATCAAGTATCCGTGTTGTGTTAAAATTTTATTAAGAAAGACTATTCAACAACCTTCTACTGTCAAAAACTATATGGGTGCCTGTGGCTTAAAGGCCAGTCCAGATTTTAGTGTATAAAATGAAAATTTGTCTTAAAACTTAAGTCAATGAAGATGTCTTTAACAATAGATGCTCTAAATTGACCAACAATGTTTCAAGTTTCAGTTTTAAAGTACATTTCAAAGCCTGTTTGACCATGTCGGACAGGTAGCAATGGCAACGTTAACTAGGTTGAAACTTGGACAGGAAAATGCCAAAGGGCTGCTGTCCTGGCTGACGTCTGACATCATTAACAATGTCCTTTCATGTTTCGGCGTTCGTGGTCAAGCCAAGGCAAACAATCCAAGAGCAGCCGGCCGAATTTCATGGCCCAAAAGCTGGACAAAAGCTCGGCATGTGTTTGGGTAATTGCCGGGACTTTCCCTCACTGTCGGCGGGGCCACTTTATTTGTCTGTTTGCCATTCAGTTTCCGGTGCGAGCTGTGAAAACTGTGTAAAAATCACGTTCATCTCATAAATTCAATTCCAGCCACATTACGCACGAAAAACGGACTCGAGGCCCAGGCCCCGGGGCTTGAATAATTAATTACCCCTGTGCCACAATCGTTTGGCAACATTTTGAATTTCTCAGGGTCTGCATGTCGGTTTGCCGAAAATAGCCGCCAGGATGCAAGGCCATGTCTGTCTATCCTGGCATTGCAGGGGTCGAGGGTCAAGCTTGAACTTCTCTACCCTACTATGGAGTCCTACTTTGTGGAGATCCAATTACCTCCACTCTTTGCCGGGGTTGTCATTTGCCTGTGTGGCTGCGGGCTAAAATAGTTTGTCAGAGCTGTCATTTCATTGAAAACAAATGTATGTATCTCGAACAGAGGCATGCAAAATGTAGATCAATATGTCAATATAATAATAGGCTATATAACACTGGTTTAATTTTAATTTTTGAATGTTTTGGCAATTGTCTGGCATCAACTTTCCATGCATTAATAAATGTTAATATAGTTAAGCAGGGTTACTACCTGATAAAGCTTAAAACCTATATCAGTCTCAATTTCATTCTCCTCTCCTCTAATTTGTGGGATTGATGGCACGTGCGGACAACCGAACATCGATTTGCATAATGCCGTTGCAGTGAAGTGCAACTCGCTAATTAAACCATGTCACTGAGGCGTGCAGGAGTGGTCCACCTGGTGATCAATGGGAATTGTTGTTAATCACAGGCCCAAATGAGAAGCGACCTACGTCCACTCAACAGGCAACTCCCATTAGCTGGAGCACTCGGTTCTGAGTGAGCGAGGTGAGAACCCAGAGTTTTCCCATCGTCCGCAAAGCAATTGTCATAATTAAGAGTGATGAATGAGCCGGCAAATCGAGGCAAAACTTGCAGGTGGAGTTCCTGTTGAGGGAGATCCGCTGGCTTCCACTTAACCATCTCTCCGGATCTTGGCCTGCACTTGCGTGTCACAGTAATTGACTTCAATTACATGTGACTGTGCCAGCTCTTGGGGCATTCCACTGACAGAAACGGAAGTTCTTCAGTCAGACGTCGTCGTCTCTCTGACTGATGAATTGCGCAAATTAAAGTTTAAAGTTATTTTAAATGAAACGTTGCAATGCTGCCTACCTAGTTATGTGGGGCCAAGTTAAGGAACAGATTATACGGAGACTTAGAGTTACTTCTGCGAAATTCATTACAGCGAAAGAGAGGCACTTGCCGCTGCTAAGCTGCAAGCAGTTTAATTAAAAGTAAATTGAACCAAAGAGAGGGGCTTATTACAACATTGTTGTCGTGAATTTAGAAAAAATGCTCTCAATTACATGTAACCTTAATGTTTCCTCTAGGTTCCAGTAGCTTTAACTACTTAAAACTATAGTTACATTGCCTTAAAGGTTGGCATATATATTCAGGAATTTAACTTTAATTTACACTTTATGTAATTTCTTTTTGCATAATGGCATTTTTCCGGCCAGCCCTCTGTTTGATATTGTAATGGAATTTGCATTCTGGCATCTGTCGCGAGCCCACGAGGCGAATGCGTAATTTCAGTTTTAACAACCCTCGCGGCTTGCTGGATGTTTTTGTTGAGAAAGTTTTACGCGCGCGGAAGCCCAAAATGCAGTCAATGCTAAGGCAGTGCTTAAAAAACGCCTGTTTGTTATGAAAAGATTGTTTACTGGAGAAGACAAGAACATTAAAGCTGTATAACAAGAACTACAAGTTTTATTTTATTCAACGTTTAAGTTTCTTTCAACTTTATTAAACTTAATGGGTTCACCTTCCTCTTTCTGCTCGATATATATAAATATGGACTATTAATATAAAATGATGAACTCTTTAATCCATGCAGGCATCACGCTCTTGGGTCCGGTCGAGTGCATATTTAGCTCTGGTCGGGCTAAAAGCCCAGGACGCGGGACACATCGGGTAGCCACAGCCACAATCACAAGCACAGCCACAGCCACAGCTTGGGCTAAGGCTACAGCTACGGCTACGGGCAAATTGCATCTCAGCCAAATGTATGCCGGTCGAGCAACCCAATTTGCAAAAACCATCAGCAGCATGGCATGTAGCTTACAGAAGCAGCCTCAGGCAACCCAACCGGCAGCCATGTCGACGTCCTGTGCCGGGGTAGAGGCGGAGGTAACTGCCGGACGACCAGGTGGAGGTGGGTCCAGCGGAGCTGGAACCGTTCCCTCCACACCGAAGACAACAAAGGCTGCACAGCCAAGGGGCTCGCTGCCAACGGACGTGAACCAGCCCCCCTTGGAATTCCAATGGCCACCGCCCGTTCCCGTCTCGATACACACGAGTAACTTGCGTCTGAATATGATGAATCAGGATCCCAAGGACTTGCACACGGCCAGGGCCATAATTGAGGAGCTGCGTTCCAAGGTGCGCTTCCAGACGGAGCATATCATGAAATGGCGCAAGGCGTACGCCATGCAGGTGAGGAATCCGTCAGAAAATATCAAATATTCAAGGACTAATCAGTGACCATCCTTTACAGGTTCAGCAGCACTATCGGTATCAGAAGGAAAAGTCAGACCAAATGAACTCGCTCACATCACAGCTCCTGCTGCTGGAGTCTCGTCTAAAGCGGAAGCAGAAGCAAATAGCCAGCCTGCTCAACCACAGGGAGCTGACCATACAGCGTCAGCAGAAGATCATTGACACGTTATCCTCGCGCCTTGTGGACCATGGCCTGGAGACGATAGAGGCGAGCTATGCCAACGAACTGGACTCCCTGAATGACTCCGACTCGGCGGTGGTAATGGAGGATATCGACTCCGACAGCCCTCTGACACTGGGAACGAGACGGAAGAGCAGCGGTGCCGGTGGACTGGGTGGTGTGCTGGGCAGCGATGGTATCACCATAGTGCGCTCCATATCCGATGCGATAGAAACGAATCTCAACAAGTATGGTGCGGCCAGACGTAACAATTGCTTCCTGCGGCGTCCAGACATCCTAGAAACGGTTTACTCGGTGGAAGAGGATCCCGAGCCCACCTCGGATGTGGCCGAGAAGCGGGACAAGTTTAAGAATCGCTCCGACAAGGCTCTAAGTTCCAGTTCCACTGAGGGCCAGATAGACTCAGTGAGCCCCTCGGGCTCCGCCTCCGACAAAGCCAAAGAGTTGCCCGTTGACGGCGGCACCGCCATCCAGAGGCGTCAGCTTGGTGCCCTCAAGCGGTCGCCCAGCCACGATGCCCCCTGCACAACACTAAGCGTCAAGGTGCCCCAGCTTCAGCCGCCATCACCTCCTCCATCGAACACGGATCCGGTCACTGGGAAGAGCCAGGTTTGTAACCTTGCCTGGAATGCAAACAAATCTTCCAGTAGAAACGCTGATTATCTGCTATCGCTTTTCAGGTAACCAACTACAACCGCGTGATGCTCAACCATCGGTCAGTGACCAAGCCCAAGGACGTCAAGTACAAGCGCATCAACAAGGCCAAGTCCAAGAGTCTGGAGGAGTTGCGAGGGCGTCTCAAGAACCTGGTGGAACGGCCGCCGGGCCTCGATGGTGGATACTCCAGCGGCATGATGCCGCAGACGGCTCAGTCATATGCGTGACATTGGCAGCAGCCAGACGAGGTCTCTGCCAGGCCAGCGGTGGCAAAGGCGCAGGCGCAGGCGGAGGCGGCGGTGGCAAAGGAGGAGGATGAGGAGCCCATGTCGGGGACAGTCAAACTGTCACCAGCGAGGAGAGACAGTGACCTGACCACCCACTCGACCCCGGGACAGGAGACTCCTGCTGGCAGGCACGACTTCCCGAAGCGGTCACTGACCCTGCCCCGCATCCTGGTGCCACGCCAGTCGATGGCAGGATTACCTAGCTCCAGTGGAGGAAGCGGAGGTGGAGGTGGAGGCCGTGGCGGCTTCTAGCAATTAAAGAAATTTTTCATACGCAATTGTGATAAAAAGTAAAACCATTTCCTTTCCTTCTCGGCTCGTTTCTGTACACTTTTAGTTGCTTTAACATGATTCTCTTTTGTAACATTTGTTTCCTTGATAGTTATCCTGAGCTTAGTTTGGAAAACTTTGCATTTAATTAAGTTTAGTTTTAGTTTTACCAACGGAACTGCATTTTTTACTTACAATTAAATATAATTTTACAACAAAATAAATCTATTTTCAAGCCTATTTTCTGTCTATGATTCCGCCAAAAACAGTGCAAGAAGCGTATGAAAAATTTCGCAAAAAATGTGGGTTAACCCCGTAAGTCTATACAACCGGAAAGAGTCTGTGAAAATTCTGCATATTTGAGGACAATATTTCCCAAGCCACGAAAGTTCGATGGTGAGTAAGTATTTGCTCCAGTGAGTCTCAGAGGAAAGGGTGAAAATAGGCTAGACTCATGATAAAAGATTAACTAATGATAGGCTATATAAGAAAATGTATTTGTGTCGATATTCCCCAGTATTTTGTAATATATACTTTCCTGAGCATTTAAGAGCTTCATCTCCTTAGCCCTCAACATAGATATGAACACCATTAAGAATTTACATATGTATAACAAAATATACTACAAATCGTTTTCGTTCTTATCTGACTTAGTCTTAAGCTCTACTCCATGGACTGTCTTCTAGATAACAGAATTTACATCTCAATACAAATACGGATATATATTTTCTTACTACCTATTACTATCTATTTTTAGCATAACAAATAAGAAGTAGCTTGTAAAGAAAGAAATTATTTTAGTTGGACATTTTATGGAAATTGTTTTGTAACTTGTTATCGACTCTTGGGGCTCCAACGACCCCAAAGTCATAAGTGTCAAATGTACCTTGCGATCACTCGTAATAGAAAGAAAACTCAGAATCAGAATAACTATAATTATAATTAATATGAGTTTAAGTCTACTTAAGAAGAATTTAGGTGCGAACTCTGACAATGGCTGCTATCAGGTCTCAATTATGTAGAAACCCCACAAAAGATACAAATATTTAAAAGCCGAAAAAGTACAATTGCTTAGCTACATCGTTAAAATGCTGTGTGCTTTAAAATATATTTATGTATATCCATATGCAAACTCGGTGTTTCAGTAAATGTCCTATTGCAACAAAACGTACCTACAAAAGTGTTAAGTCAATATTGTTGAAAAGCATTCGCAGGATCTTAACCTAAGCTTGTATTGAGTGACAAAATGTCAAAGTAAAATACTAAATTAGGCATAAGTAATAGGTATGAGAAATCAGCCACACGATAAAGAATCTCTGATTTGGGGTCAGGGTTAAGCACATAGATTTTCAGTCAGGAAATCTTTAAAAACTATGCCATTTATGGTAATAGGCTAAAAAAGCCCATACTGACTCCTTATTAGAGACCTTTTTAGTTTGGCTTTGAAATACTTACCAGAGTCAATTTTGAATTTTAATTTTGTTATTTTAAGATGGTTGTAGCAACTCAATATTTGCTAACAATCAAAGAAAGCGTGTAATTCTGAATATAAATGCAGTAAAATATATTATAAGCTAGATATAACTTATGCAATGTAATACGGTCTCAATGCAGATATAATTACTAGTTTATAAGAAACCTTGTCCGTAATTCGCAAAAATTCAGCAACCATATTGGAACACCAATTGACGTTTTATATTAAGGTAAAATCCGTATAACTCAAAGATAATCTCCAACCAACAACAATCTCCCAGCCTTTAGTTAGAAACAAAAACGTTTTTGTGGATTGTCCCAACCGACTATGAAATCTTTTAAATTTTCTGCCTACAAATATTACACAGGGGGACAAAATATAAAAAAAATCTAAGAACTGGAAACCGAAATAAACGATAGATTTTAATGCACTGAACTTGAATCCCCACTTAAAAAATTTATTTCACGTAAGGTTTCAAAGATATTTCTACATACAAGTTTTGGGTATTATTCAGGTCCTTTTTTTGTTTGTTGAACAATAATTTAGAGATTTTAAAGCACTTTCCTTGCCCTCAAAAATTAGATTTTGAGATTTAAAATAATCTTTAATAAATATAAATTTCATACCCTTGCAGGGAGTTCATATTTTAGTCAGAAGCTTGAAACGTAGTAAAAAAAATCATTTCCGAACCTATAAACTATATATATTCTTGATCAGCTTCAACAGCTGAATCGATACAGTAATGCCCAAGGCAAAAAATTTCAAATTTTGACTAAAAATCGAATTTTTTAAATTCAAAAACTAAGTATACAGAATTGTTAGCCCAATAAAAACTAGCAAAGAAAAGCTTTTCGAATTGAAAATTATGCATTTTTAGCTAAGTTATGATATTTCAAAATCTTTGATTTACCAAAAAAATTCACACATAAAATATCAATTCAATATACCTAGAGTACATAGAAGAAAACGATTGCCAAAAGTTATATATTTTGTTTTGTAATAAAAATCTCTGAATCTATATATATAAAAATGCTCTGTTCGTGTCTACATCCTTCATAGACTCGAAAAGTTCTGAACCGTTTAAGCCCAAATTTTTACACAACATGCGTTGAGGTTCCAGCTCGGTTATTGACTACTTTTGATGTTGATAGCTTATCTGCGGTTGCGAATATATCTATTTTTTTAGCGTTTCCAAGTGCCCCTACTGCTGCGCCATCTACAGGCAGCCAGCTGAATCAAAGCATTTCCTGTCAAACATTCAAAACATATTGAAAGAAGAAACTTGAAAAGTTCTGAACCGTTTAAGCCCAAATTTTTAGAGAACATGCGTTGAGGTTCCAGCTCGGTTATTGACTACTTTTGATGTTGATAGCTTATCTGCGGTTGCGAATATATCTATTTTTTAGCGTTTCCCCGTGCCCCTACTACTGCGCCCTCTACAGGCAAATCAAAGCATTTCCTGTCAAACATTAAAAACATATTGAAATAAGAAATTGGAGATAAAAATTTTATTTTTTGTTCAGGTTCAGTAAGAAACGAAGTCATGCCACCAAAAAAGTAGAGATTGGGTCGTTGTATTCGCAATACAGAAGCAAAAAGACGTAAGATTACGAAGAACAGGCCTCCTTCCGAGAGACTGAGCGGCTGAGAGCAATGCATGGGAACGCGTTAATATTGCTCGCAGGGGATTTCAGACAAACGTTGCCTGTGATTTCCCGATCGACACCAGCTGACGAGATAAATGCTTGCCTGAAATATTCTATATTGTGGAAACATGTACGTACATTACAGTTGAAGACGAATATGCGTGTCCAGTTACAGAACAATGACTCAGCCGACGTATTCTCACGACAGTTACTGGACATTGGGAACGGAAAGCTGCCAGTCAATGAGACGTCGAGAAAAATAGTATTGCCCGGGAATTTCTGTAATTTAGTTACATCGAAGAAAGAAATTATCCAAAAAGTGTTCCCCAATATCCGAATAAATTATAGGAATCACGATTGGCTCAGTGGACGAGCGATTCTCGCTGCCAAGAACAAAGATGTCTACCAGCTCAATCATGTAATCCAAAAAAGCATAGAAGCAGTTAATTACCCTACCGAATTTCTAAACTCACTTGATCTGCCTGGAATGCTACCACACATATTGAAATTAAAAATAGGTGTGCCGATTATCATGCTCCGGAATATAAATCAGCCGAAACTCTGCAACGGTACGCGACTCGCAGTCAAGAAATTGATGAACAACATAGTAGAAGCAACGATCATAACTGGTCCTTTCAAAGGTGAAGATGTCCTCATTCCTAGGATTCCTATGATCCCGACAGATACACCGTTGCAGTTCAAGAGATTGCAGTTTCCCATTCGTTTGGCGTTTGCAATGACCATAAATAAAGCTCAAGGTCAATCTCTGGAGTTGTGTGGTCTGGATTTGGATGAAGATTGTTTTTCACACGGACAATTATATGTTGCGTGTTCACGAGTCGGAAAACCAAAAAGTCTTTATATTTACGCGGAGAATGGAGAAACAAAGAATATTGTATACCAACAAGTATTACAGAATTAAATTAATTTGAAAATGATTATTTTTTGTTTGACTTATTTCTTATGCGTTCAACCACAATATGCCACAGAGAAACGTGGCAGTCCAACGGTCAACGTGTCTATTTCACAGAAAAAAATGTGCAAGAAAGAGTCCTGAATCGGCCAGCGACAACTCTGACTGCCTTCTTCACCTTATGCCAGGAAGATGATTTTGCCAGAACCTTGATGTATTCAGAAGTGCCCTCTTAACCATAATATGCCACAGAGAAACGTGGCAGGGTACAGCTAGTCAATAAATAAAACATAAGAAATAAATCGAATTTGAAAACCTGACGAATATGAAATTGATTAAGGACAGATTAGAGTTCAGCTAAAATCGTAAAAAGTTTATTCCGGTTCTTGGTTTTAAAATGCTGTCGGCCTGTGTTTTGTTTTCAGTACCCAAAGTCATTGCAATCTCCCAGAAGCTTAAAATAAAATATATATATTTATATATTTTAGTTAAGGTGTAAGATTAATATTAATTATTCTCACAATTTATAGCTTGCTGCTTTATTAATTCAATTTTTATTTGAGTAAAACTTTTGTATTTTTAATTCCTTGTATTTAATTTCTTAAATCTGTATAAAAAAATAAGATTTGTTTTGAATTGAGTTGCAAACCCAAGGGAGTAGTTCAGGAAAAAAATATACATCTTAATGAGAGAGTAATTAAAACGTAAATTTCAGTCATTTTTTCATTAAATTCTTCTTACAAATGCAGCTACTAGACGAAGCAATAAAATAATATGAAGTCAGTTATAGTTTATTTTGTGTAAAATTTATTTCTTTGCTAAAAAAGGATTCAAGTTTAACGGTCACACTTAATTTAACCATTACTAAAAAGAACCCTAGAATAGAATACTTTTTCAATACATAAATTTCAATCGATCACAAAAGTAAAATATAAATATATCCAGAATATAAATATATCTAAGAAAAGCAAGCTTATTAAATGGCTGTTGATTATTCCAATATAAAATGTTTAGGTAAGATAAAAAAACTGCAACATTTTCTTCCGTCTCTAAACTCCTGATCTCACTACAATGCATTGATAATTGAAATATTTCCTTTCCTTTAGAGATAGTTTTTATATATAATAGTTTCCCCAAATATTGACGATTTAATTGTAATTAAAAAATTTAATAGTGTTTTTTGGGGTATTACGATTCTCGAAAAAGATATCTTTGCTTGTCCAAAGAACCTGATTCTTTTTTATATTATATAAGTTATTTATACATATTGTCGAAATAAGTAAGAAGCTTAAAATTATTCAATTTGGATAAACTATTTTTACATTCAGTCTTATCTGGAATAAAATATAGCTAGCGAGTTGTAAGCAAGCTTTAATGCTAATGTTATTTGTGTTTTTAAAGTCAGAGTGCCAAATGCAGCATTTAATTTATTTATTTCCTAAATCAATCAAACATCAAAATACCTTGTGAAGTTGGAAACGTTTCCGTTTCGCCCTATTATAAAAATATACTTGAAATAATATAAAAATGCGAAAGCAAATTCAATTATATGACAGTAATTGTAAGATTTATAAAGAAAATCCCAAGTTCCCCAAATCTATTATATTATAAGCCAATAATTGCTGAACATGAGTATATATAGTTGCACTCATGACAAAGATTCCGCAAAACCCATTACGGAAGTACAGTAGCAGTCTAATAACTTAAGTATAGGTCAAGATGTGCAATTTTCGAATGTAATTGCTAAGTACACACGAGCATCCCAAGTCGATTGTGTGTGCGAATTTATTAGTAACATTACTTTCTAGTTAGCTTAATTAAGTAATCGAAAACGAACGAATAATTTGCTCACTCTACACTATATTTGAATATACAACTCTTGAGATATTTTCTACTCGCGCTTAATAAAACAAAATAAACCCAAAACAAAACCACATCGATCGGGGAGGGGCTTTGCTTGGGATCAGTCTCCGACGAGCACTGGTCACGGAAGCATGGCTAGAGCAGAGCGCAGTCCGAGGCTTCTTATCAGCATCGCCTGCTGGGCCCTGTGGCTTATCTGCCTGGTGAGTGAGTTCAAGTTGATTAGATAGTTCCGTTCTTGATTTTCCGATTGCCAGACCCTGGCCGATTCAGTCCAGATCCGTGACCGTTCCGCTACCCTCGCCAGCCCCACTGTCCAGGCCGTTGAGAGGCTGTTTAACCAGGTGCTTCAGGTCACCATCGAGGATGCCCGCCAGCGACTGCCGCACTTGAATGCCAGCGATGCCATCGACCGGCAGTATTTCGAGGATCTGGACTCCATTGCGGGAAATGAGGATTATTACAGCACTGCGTACTACATCTTCGCCTGGATCAACAGCCAGCTGATGGCCCATCAAACTCCCGATAAACTGCTCCTCGAGGTTCTGCCGGGCGAAAAGATAGCAATACGGAATTTCTTCGGCAAGGTCAGGCCACATCTGGCCAAGTATCTGCGTCTCAGCCGGCAGGATAGGCTGGAATTTATGTCCAATATCACACGCTGGGCCAGCGAAAGCGAGGATAGCCTGGTCACATATTATCTAGAGTTTCCTCGAACCCTTCAGCAGCAACTGCCCGAGCTGCAGTTGATGGATTACACCAAGCTGGCCAAGGCTCTGCTGGAGGGAGTGGCAACGGGTATATGGAGAACGCTTTAGCTTGACCTTTGAACTATCTGTATATTCTAAATAAATCACATTGGAAATTAAAAACTGATTTAATTTAATTCTGGATTTATTTGTTCTACCTACTGTCCCACCAATCTGTAGGTTTTTGATTTCAGCATTTGGAAGGTCTCATCGTATTCCCTCAATATAACCTTGACCTTTCGCAGAGTGCCATCCATTGCCTCCTGGTCACTGACGCTTCCCACGAACTTAATCTCCAGAGCCTCGAGTCGGGCTTTTAGCTCAGTATAGCCGTGCCGCAGGACTTTCAGCTGCCGCAGGACACTCCGCTGCTGGCAGTCACTACCCGGCAGACGACACTGCTCCACAAACTGGGCCATGTCCAGGCCCAGCTGCTCCAGACCTTGGGCCCAGACCTTGATCTCATCATCGAACTGAAGGACCGGGGCTTCTGTAGTACTTTCATCCTGCTGCCTTATCAGTTTGCGTAACTCCGGACTGTCGGTCCGCGACGACACATGAGTCAACTGAAGCTGAGAACACAATTTGATAGAATAATCGGAAAGAAGAACGGATGCCACCTACCGACAATAGAAAGACCGAGATGAATATAGCTGGGGGCGGCATCTGACTAAAACGTTCTTATCACGCTCACCGCAGACTGGGGACTGATTATAGTGCGCGAAGCAGGAGATCTCTCGATCAAACATTGTTTATTATTAAGGCGTACTTGTTATTGTTTACCAATCACGTAAGAATTGGGGAGACTATAAAAGATTCGGAGGCAACGCAGTACTGGCTAGAAATTTTGACACAATGGCCAACAGAGTGCTGTGGTCGTTCCTCATTGCCCTGACTATCCTGCAGTCGTCGGTAAGCTCCTTCCTCCTCCTAGACTCTTGACTTCCGACTGATGTTTTGACATTCTGCAGAGGTCAGCTCCCACCTTTACGAAGCTGCAGTTGGAGTTCGACGTGGCCAACGAAATGTTCCAGCTTTTGTCGGACACATTGGAAGAGTTTAAAGACTTTGTCCAGCGGGTCATTAACGAGGCCGAGCTCATTTTACCTCCAGATTCCAAAAGTACCATCCTTGAGATGTGTCAGGAGTTTATTAACATCATAAATCCCATGGATATTGAGGACTCTTACGAATTGGAGAGAATGACGGATGCCATGGAGGATATTATTAACCTATTTGAATCCTTGGAAAGCTCAGAGTTTAACTCGGAAGCGGATGAGATTGTCATGTCCATATTTGAGCAGCATGGAGGTGAAGACATTGAGAGGCGTCTGGAGGAGAAAATGGCAGACGCATTGCAGAGAATCGAGCAGAGATTGGCCAATTATATAAGCACTTGGTCTGAGAGTCGACAGGCAAGAAATTCCGAGTTCCTGAAATGGTTCATGGACTTCAAAAACGAAAAAGATCCCTTTGAGAAATTAGATTTGCTATATGAAAGTGATTTCTTTTAACTTATAACTTATTTTATAACTTATGAAGGTTGATCGGAAAGCTATAAATATATTACAATACTTTTAGTAACCTGTAATTTATACATTATTTGTTTGCCGATTTGCTGCTTCCGGAATCATTGATACTAAGACTTGTTTGCAACTTGTTTATCTGGAAATCGTGGAGAGGCAATAGGCAGTTATCAGCTTCAGGCTGAAAGGGGGATATGACATTGAATCTGATGAACTGAGATGCACTTGCATTACTTTATTTGTTTCGACACGAATGTTTTCTATTGCTTTAGAATCTGCTGACTGTTTCTAAAATCAATTTGTGCTCTAGTTAAAAGTTTCTCAACGAAACTTGTCTATATGGATCTCGAGAATCATAGACGTTATGCTCGATCTGCGGGGGTCCCCTGCCATCGGATGAGTAGCTGTAAGACTCGGAACGGTGAAAGTTATTGGATGAGCCAAAGGGACCGCTGCGACCGCTAGACAGAGGCCTTCCAAAGTTGTTGGCCGATAGCGGAACTTGCATCTGGAAACAAATAAATTAGCTAATGTTAGCAGTAAAAAGTAACAAATTCTTACCGGCCTAGATACCCATGAGGATGTGTTTTGATTGCTCTCATTGGGATTAAAGATTAAAGGTATTATGTTGCTGTTCCTGAAACTTGATGAACTAGGAAAAGGTGGTCTGCTAATTTCAGGTCGACCAAATCTGGGCACTCCCTGTGGGAAGCTGTTCTCATAATTGGGTGACTAAAAATTATAGTTAATTATTACAAAATAGTTACCCTTATTGTTTATTAATTACACTCACAGGAAATCCCGATGTTCTCCGAGGCCCTTGGCGGTACAATGGTTGAGTGTCATAATCATTTTCCTCTTCTAGGTCATTTTCTTCGGTCACAACTTCGACTCCGCCTTCGAAACGCTTTAATAATACTGAATTTAGTAAATGTTTTTTAGTTTTCAGTTACAAATTATTCATCTCACCTCTTGAAATCGAACATCTGATTCTTCTGATCCAGGGTATAGTTCGCCAGTTGAATTTCCTCGATTAGATCTCGTCCGCTCATTGCCTGCTTTTTTACCCACTGGCTTAAACAGTTCTGTGGGTATATCGGCTGTGTCCCGGACAATTCTAGCCTGAAAATATTGATTACAAATTTGATTTAAAAACAAAAAATTACTATTTTATTGTGTCTTACCCCCTGAACGATACACAGGAAGCCCATGAGCAGGGTCACAAAACTGGGACGGAGCGACAGCATCTTATGGTCTCAACCTCCGGGCGGTCGTCAGATTAATGAGTTAACTTGGTGGAATGCGCTGCAATTATATGCGTCGCACTCAACCCGTCTGACTGGAATCATTAGGTGAGAGCCGGGGTCCGCGGTTATCAGCCCGGGAAAACTCACAACTAAATAATCAGAAAATCAATCAGATTATCGAATCACACATACGCTTTAATTTCTTTGCAAAATGTATTGATTCATCACACCAAAAGATGCAACTTTACTTTTGGCATAAATTAAATTGGAAGTACTGATATTTAATATACGATGAACTATATATAGTAGTTGTTAAGAGAAGCATTTAATAATTTAAGAGAAATTTATAATAATTGTATTTTATTTGTTTAAATACAATTTAATTAATAACTGAAGTTGTTTTTCTAAGATTATTAGTACCGTCCGTAGCCATAGGATGATCCATAACCACCACCTGGTCTTGGATAGCTGGGCACAGTGATTACTGGTCGTCGGGGAACCAAGTAGACGGATGGATAGCCAAAGCCGATAGGTCTCAGCGGTACATCCTCCGGCTTCTTATCATCCTCTTCCCCAGAATGGTCCTTGTCCTTGGCTTTATCCTCGCCAGACTCTTCTTCGTGATTATGCTCCTCGGGGTACCCTAAATGCGGATTTCCAGGGTATCCTTGGAAGAGGGGTGGCTGGTACGGAGAGTAGGGCGATCTGAAGCTGGGATATGAAGGATAGCCACTCAACTCGGGCGACTTCGGGCCAGCACCATGGGAAGGTGAAGGAGAAGACTCGGATGGAGGCGCTGGCTTGGGTCCTGTTGGCGTATAGGGGAATCCAGGCTGACCATAGGGATGTGAGTGTTGATGAGGATACGGGTATGGGTGTGGGTATGGATAAGGATGCGGGTGCGGGTATGGGTGGGAATAGGGGTGTGGCTCGTGCTTGTGGGGCTTTGGCGTTGTCGTAGTTGTAGTGGTAGATGTGGTGGTTGTAGTGGTAGTGGTCTCCGGCTCCGGTTCCGGCGTAGTAGTGGACTCTGGAAGCGCTGATCCGGCCACGACTTGACCCAATCCATCATCCAGCTGACCCAGTCCATCGGGAGCAGCGGTGGCATTATTAGCCGTCTCCAATGGTGGTTCAGTGGTTGTTTCTGGCTCTAGGGTGGTGGTGGTGGTGGTCACGTGCTTATGATAGTGGGGCTTGTACTGGGGAGGATGGTGTGGCTCCGGCTGATGCATGTCATCTCCCGTCTCCTCGTCACTGTAAACCGAGGCATCGTCAATGAGCTTCTTTGCCTCTTCGACCGACAGTTGGGCAAAGGCCAGCGCCAGCAGCTAAAATTAATGCAAAGCAAAAGAAAAATAAATGAACTGTTATGGCCTGGTCAAGATCTCACACCCACCTGGCTAATTAATAGGAGCTTGATGAACATCTCAATGGGTTGCTGCAGCTACAAGTACTTGGCGAGAACTGTTTGGTCTCGGCACGACGGATCGGGCTTATATAGTCCAGAATCGCCCACAAATATGGAAATCAGAAAGCCCACAATTACACTCGCCCCGGAGCAATCAGCTCGGACTCAAGCTCTCTCTATCTCTCTGAGATGGATTCAAAAAACCCGATCGCCATCAGGTGGTGGATGCGTCTGCCCGGAATTTCCCAACCTGCGTTCGTAATTATGAGATCGTCAGAACTATCAGGGAATTCGCTCTGCCCGTAAAATCAGGCAATGACTCCTCCAATCAGTCTCCACGGCTGCGGTTGCTCTAATCGAATTGACGGGCGCAGCGACTATAAAAGGTGGCTTTGCCCAGTCGCCGCTTCTGGCAGAGAAAAGTGACGTCAACATGGCAATACTAAACTTGCAGCTGGTAAGCAAGGTTGGGGATTTCATCTCTTGCTTTTATCTTTTGTTTTTTTAACTGCTTGCAGATTGGATCAATTATATTCTTGGTAGCGGTTCTAGAAGCACAGGAAAGCCATGCTTCTGAGTCAGTCATAACCACAGAAGTCACCATAAAAACCGAAGCTACAGATGCAACTAAAACCAGCGAAGATGGACCAACAACTGTCAACATTACCACTGCCTGGGATTCCAGCTCCTCCACAATATCGACACCAACCCAGTCCTCTTCCAATGACCAGTCTGCATCGGATAGTAGTTCTGTAGAGAACGCTGGATACCCTTTCGTAAGGCCAGGGACCATAAACCAGGCTTACGTCACGTGAAAGCTCACGATGGATTCCACAGCCTCAGGAAGGAGAAGCGTTGGGCCCACTGGAATGATGCATTTACCAAGCCCAAACTCTAATGCTGTTTTACAAATTATTTATTACACATTAAATAAGAATATAGTTAATACCCTTCTCTTACTTCATGGGTCAATCATAAACAATTTAATTAGATGACAGAATTCTGATTTTATGATGTAGTGAAATGGCAGACGATTGTTGTGAATGCCACGATGCGGGTGGAATTCTGCTGCTGGATAACAATTAATTAATTTAAAATTAATTGCAAGCTTATTACTACTTTGTATTTATTTCCCCAGAACCTGTTTCTGTGACTGTAGGCAGTCATCGCAATCGGAAAACTGCGCCACGCGATCGGTCACAATGGTTTTCACAAACATTGAGAGGGAAAAGCGCTTGAGGAAGTGGTCAGCACGTGTGCGACGGTACCACCTTGAATAATGTTTAATGTATAAACAATAAACAATAAATAATAATAATAACAAGGTCGGAATGGTACTTAATCTCAGAGTTATAAGATCATCAGTGCCCTCAGAATAATGGAAAATGGAAGCATTGTAAATCTTTAGATTTAACTTACTCATGGCTTCTCCTAATATATCATTTAGATGTACTGTAAATATCAGAATCTGAATTTTTAACCTCTTATACAATCTTCAGGCATAAAGGTTTTATTTTATAACCGAATCATAGTTTACATAATTTATGTGTATGTACCAAACAAACAGATAATTATATATTATATAATTGTTATACTATAAATGGTATTTGTTTTTGAAGCTCCAAGAAGTGTGATTGATGGTATGTTATAATATTTATTTCTTTCTGAATTATTGATTTGCGGATTCGTATTTTTAAGTGGTGTAAAGTGTGTATTCTTTATATGCATTTAGATTCTAGAACTTGTTTTTCTCGACGAAACGAAGGCGCTCGCGTGCACGAAACTCGCGACGTGTCGCCGGCGCATTTCCCTGGGGATTGCGAATGATGTAATGCTTTTCGCAATGGTCCAACGGATCGTAGGTTCCTGATGGTGGCTCAGCATCCCAGTCCTCAGTAGACTCCACACAGAAATCGGAAGGTTGTGCCTTCTCCTGTGTCACCATGACCGGATTCATAGCCTTTTCTAATGCACACCCATTTTGGCAGACTTTAGCATGCGACTTCATCTCCATCATGGAGTGGATTTGGGCGCAAGTTGGGCCGCATTGCTCCTTCTGTTTGGAAGAATAGTTGCGTCCGCAGCGTACAAGATGCACGGCCAGGCGATTGGGAAGCAGGCGATGGTTGCTGTCGTAGGGACAGACCACCAAGTCCTCGAGCTTTGTTCCCGGAATAATGCTATAATTCTGGGACATCGTTGAAGTGTTTTCCTTGGAAAATGAAAAGAAATCTTAGCAATTTATTAGTCTAGTGAAAGAATTAGTACAAACATTCAATATATGTTTATCATACCAAATATCTTCAAAGTTCAAAGACTTCACGTCAAAATCAACACCAACGCAGTTTGGTCTTTTGTCGGATTTACAGAAGTTTAAGACTTTTCCCTTTGAATTCTAATTATCTTAAGCTCTATTCGCTTTGCCGTCGAAGTTTTTTAGCCTTGTTAAGGAAGCTCTTTTAATTTTTGTTAAAGACAAAAAACAAAATACAAAACATTTTATTATTTTACCTAATATTTTCAGAAATTTCTCGAGAGAGTTTTTTCCTGTCTGTACTTTTGCTGTAGGAATACAGATGTGTTCCTAACTTTCCGTATCAGTTGTGACATTAGAATCATGGATCTCAGAACCACATTAAAAATTTGGAATACATCTCTAAAATCATTGTTAACGACTTTTTAATTGAAAATTTAAAAAAGAAGTTAAACTCTACACAAAATATTAAGAATAATACGGCCTTTGAAGGATCTGTTTATTCGACAAACATTTACTTGTATTTAAAATTAAAATGATTTCCGTTAGATACGGCTACAGTTACATTTATAGTTATAGTTATAGTTATAGTTACAGTTACAGTTAGAGTTACAATTGAATCGCAAGAATGTCGATATTAGCTAGTATACGCGTGACTGTGCGCCTTGAATGTGCATTAGTTAGTATGTACGTAATATGTATTAGTATCACTCTGGTGCAAAGCATTAACCCGGCCTTCGATCGTTGTCAGATTTCATCGTCTTGTTCAGACATTCGGCCTCGTGACCCTAGCCAATGGTAGTGGACAAGTGCTTGGTGGCCCCGACGGATCCAGGAGCTGGACCATCGTTGGTCACGCAAGTGGGAATGGCACTGGACCATTTTCCATTCTTGAGGCACTTGAGCACCTTGGAACCGCGCAGATCGAGGCCGGCGTCACAGGTGAAGGTGATGCTCTCGCCGATCGCGTAGTAGAACTTCACGGAGGACATCCGGCCGCTGATGACGGTGCCCGGGTAGGAGCAGGCCTGAACGCATTTGGGGAGACCTCCAGACCAGCGCCCGTTATCCTGGCAGGCAATAATTGGCTGGCCCTGCATCATGTACTCCGGGTTGCAATTGAACTGGACCACATCGCCGGCACGGTAAGGTGCCGAGCCCTGGGCGTAACCGTTTTGCGGCGCCCCCGGGTTGTCGCACTGCACCTCCACGCAGGTGGGCAGCGGCGCTGACCATTCGCCCGTAGGATTGCATATTGCCTCCGAGGGGCCGCGTAGCCCATACCCAGAGGCGCACGAGAAGGCCGCCCGGCCGCCCACCTCGCGCGACAGCACGGAGACGCGCGGCGAGCTCGCGTTGTTCCCCAGCGGGATGTCGCCGCACTCGACGCTCTCGCAAACCGGCAACGGTGCGCTCCAATTGCCACTCGGCAGGCAGAACAGCTCCGAGGCGCCAATCAACGAGTTGCCGTTGGCGCAGGACAACAGCGCTCGTGTGCTCAGCTTGGTGTCGTTCGTATTCACGATCAGGCCGCGCCGCATCGGGATCTCCGGGCAGTTGATCTCCTTAACCACCACCTCCACGGCATGCTCATGCCTTGCCGGTGTCATGCACGAATAGAATCCGGTGTCATCGCTGGCCGCATCGATGATGCTCAGGCGGTACTCCAGCGTTGAATCCCTGCCCTCGTCCGCCTCCGTCACCCAGCCCTCGGTGTAGTTCCTGCAAGACACACGGATTTAAGTTAAAAGAGGTAGCTACATCGAAGACCAAGAGTTCCATAAATCTATGCGATCTATTAAAGTATATCTTTGATAATTAAGAAAGTCTTGTCCCAAGTTCAAGCTGAAATGTAATTGGGAATTTTAGAAAAAGGATCCAATCTGAATCGCTTTGCTCACAACCCAAACAACCGATACCCACTTGTGCGTGTGACTGACGTTCCACTTGGGATTGCCAAAGCGCCGCATCCACAGGCACTCCATGTGAAGGGTTGTACCCGGATATACGATCAACTTGCCATCGTTACTCTGGGCAATGGGTCCGTTCTGGTGGCGGAATAATATGGTTGGCGCCTTCTCCACTGCATTGGGAATGAAGAAAAGGGTATATCAGGTAAATAAAGTAGATACAAGTATAAAATACTCACTTGCATAGTCATTCTCCTGGTTAAGGCCCGAACACACGGGTTTGGTGTTGGTCCACTCCGAGTGAATGCAGGTCCTTTCGTGGCTGCCCATCATCGAGAACTTGCCAATATCGACGCACCTGAGGGAATAGGCACATTGAAGGGATATAGGATGAGATTCCATTAAAAAACTTACCTAGATATGATTGTAGCTCCTGGTGGAAAATCCACAACATCTTCACGGATCTCTAGGTCATTATAAAAGCTGACCACATTGGCTTCATTGTTCCTAAACACACACGTTCCGTTTTCTAGGTATAGATACAAAAGTAAAGTTATAGTTCAAAAACGCAAGAGATTCAAACATAACTCACCGCAATTATATGATCGTCCAATCCACAGTCCATTGTCACAGATGATGCGCCATGTCTGCCGATCCCCGGCCGCATTTGGAATGCAATTGAAGAAGATCTCCGTTCCGCTCTCATAGGCCCCATCCAGCTCTGGATGCTCAGGGTTCCTTCAGGTATTCAAAGAACTTAGAGAAACTCAATGCAGGCGAAACCATCACTCACTTGTAGACCAGGGCTCCGTCCGTAAGACTCGGAGGACCGCACATCTTCATGTCGTCGTGCTCATCCGTACTGTTGTCGTGATGGTCGTGATCGTTGTCCAATTCGTTGTGCTCAGCCTTAGAATTGGGGGGATGTGGCGCCGAGGTGGTATGCTCCAGTTCCTCACGGGATTTTCGCAATCCTGACTCACAGGGAACACTGGGCGGGGTGAGGACGCCCTTGTGGCAGGACATCTCAATGGGATTGGCATTCGTAGAGGTTTCACAGCGAACGTTTACGGTGCTTCCATGACCAATGGTTAGTCCTGCTCGATATCCTCCCTATGATATATAGATTTATATAATTAATGTTTGATCTATAGCTTGATGAGATTAGAGTCCTACATCATAGATGACACCTGGAATGTTGGGCAGCGTGCAGGGTACAGAGGTGCATTCTGAAAAGGCGTTCACCGACCATGAGCCATGAGCACATCGCAACTGAGCAGAGCCCTAAAGTATCAGGAAAGAATATATAGTATATTCATATAGCTTTAGTTGCGAACCCTTACCTGTATGTTGAAGCCATCCTCGCACTCCAGAGTGATGAATTCGTTGGACTGGATCTCCTCGTAGGTGGAGACCGGCGGCAAAGAGGGCTTGTCGCTGAGCTGCTTCGTATGCGACTCCACCTTGTAGTACTGACCATGCTCTACGGCGGGCACCAAGCACGGGGCGGATAGACACTTTGGTGTTTCTGGCTTCCAGATTCCTCGGATACAGCGCGCCGTGGCATTCTCACCTTTGATATTCAGTTTAAAGCCAGCGTTGCACTCCAACTGCAGCATGATGCCCACGGCATTGCGGCCAGGAGCTTTGCCCGGGCGAACGACAGTCACGTTGCCAAAAGAATCCCAGTCCAGATCCTCGCAGGGACCACGTAACCGCTTGCCATTGCCTCCTTTTCCGGACTCCCCGCCGTCACTGCTGTCCACTTCCCCATCCGGAAGAGTGGCCACCGATGGTGGAGGTGCCTGTCCAATGCTGGAGCTTCGCTTGCGCCTCCGACGGACAATTTGCGACTTCAGGTGTTCAATGTAGGATCTAGTGGCATTCACATGGAAGCTACGCGATGTATCCGGCGGCGAACCGTTGCCCAGGGGCGCTTCATTGGAACTGCGTTCCATATGACCCACATGATTCCGGGAAACCTGGTTGATGTTGGGCAGGGGCACAACACCGCCTCCACCAGCACCGATACCAGCGCGGTAATTGTTACCGACCTCAAAGTCCCTGAAGTTGGATTTGCCCCGCATCATCACCTGCCCTCCATCATGAGCGTTGAGATTGTGACCTCGGGCATCCTGGAAGTGCAGTTTCTCGTAAATCCTGTCATGACCAAGCATTTTGCGCACATATCGCTGGTAGCGCTCCTTGATCTTCTGATAGTACTTGGAGTAAGCCAGGTCCAGATCCGAGGGATGAGGATGCGGACCAGGATAGGGACTGGCGCTGCGCTTGACGCGATGATTCGTCTCCTGAGCAGGAGCATTTACTGTTGAAAAACATTGGAAAGAAATTAATATATATGCAACTTAGTTTTAGTCCTTAGCTTACCCGCCTGAAGAAACTTTTGGTTCTCGACCAGTTCCCGTTGAAGCTGCCGCTGGCGACGCAGGAGATACATGGATCTTAGCTGACGAATCTGCAGGGAGCGACGTCTGCGGCGATTCCAGCGAAGACGTGGATGCTGTCCCAGTAGACACTGGGGGAGATCCAGAGGACGCCACTTACCGCCCACACATGTGGCACCTGGCGGACCGACCTGAGAGGTAAATAAAATACCAAGAAAATATCTAAATTTGAATCCTTTTAAGAAAAGTGCTTTCCGGAATTACCTCCAGGACATATCCCTTATCGCAGTCGTACATGATTTGCTTGTTGTTCACTATCTTTTTCACATACGGCCGGTAATCGTAGAGTCCCATGTTACCCACGAGAAGAACCTTGCCGTTGGGTATATAGCCCGGAAAAGAGCAGAAGACCTCGTCGCACTTGGGCGTCTCTCCAGTCCAGTTTCCAAAGGAACAGGTAAGCACATAGTCGTGGGGATCAGTAACATCTTTGCCCTCGGGACTGACCAGTTTAAAGCCATCCTTGCACTTAAATCGCGCCTTCATTCCATGCTCCGTCTTCGGGGCCATTACCATGCCATGCTTTGGGGGACGAGGCATGCTCTTGCATCTGGCCGGAATGCAGCGGGGAATGATGCTCCAGGTGCCATTGTTGCAGGTGGGCGGACTGAGCAGCGAGACTGGAAACTCGTAGTTCTCATCACACTTGACCTCCAGCGCCGTGCCGTGTTTAACCTTCTCCACTCCGCCTAGGCTCTGGGTTTGCGTTGGTGACTGCGTCGTGGTCGTGGGTGGATGAATGATCGTCGTTCCGTTCTCATCGGTGGTTATCTCAATGGGATATACATTACCCTGCGAGATGGTGGGCACCACGCACGGCGCCAGGCACTCGGGAAGGGTGTTTCGCCATCGTCCGTCGATCTGGCAGACGCTCGAGCCCAGGCCATTGATCATCATCTCCGGCTGGCAGCGGAAGATGATGCTGGCACCCAGTCCAGTGCCCGCCTCAATGTTTTCAATCCAACCATTATAAAGCACTCCAGGATGTCCGCAGTTGATCTCTGTCATTAGATTGTTAGAGTTATACGTATGTATAAGCAACTCTGAGCAGGATAAACTCGGTTCCACTTACCCTTGCAGGTGGGCAAAGTGCCGCTCCACTTGCGATCCGCTCCACAGCGACTGGAGCTCTCACCCACAAGCGTGTAGCCGTAGCGGCACTCGTAGCTCACCACCGAGTTGTAGGCCAATGTGGTGTAGGTGGCCTTGCCGTTCTTGGGGTTCTCCGGTGTGGGACACACCACCGAGGTGACCACTAGAGGGGCGGAGGAGGTATGGCAATGTTAACAATGAATTTTAGACACTTAAAGTACGCTAAAAGTTACCACAAATCTCGCAATCGAGATCCACCAAATAAAACAACTTTAGAGTATGGGTTTCAATTTTTGATTCAATTCTTTTGGTTTTATTTTGCTTTGTTTTCGTTTTTGTTTTGCTCAAGATTTGCGGTAACTTTTATTTATTCATTCAATCAACATTAATAGGCCAACAACAACAACAATGTATTGCATAAAATTTGAACAATCTATGGGTAACACTAGATCATATCGTATCAGAGAGAGTGTATGTGGTTAACAGGAGCAGAGGACTCCGACTGGAGACCTTGGGCCCTGACCAAAGTACGCTTTTAACATGGTTTCGGTTTACGGATTTTCGGATTTCAGATTTCGGATTCGGATCTGTGCCCTCGCCAGCTCTAATTAGTTGGCAACTCAAATGGTCGCTGGGGTGGTGGTTACGTTTGCGCTATCCGCTTCAAAGGTCAGAGGTCAGAGGTTCGGTTACAAACTCTACACGCATCACCGCAATACTCACAGACACAGGTGGGCAGCTCCTTGGGCGTCCAGGAGCCATCCGACTGGCAGTAGCGTTCGTGCTTGCCCACCAGCTCATAGCCAGTTCCACAATTGTAGGTGATCTTGCATCCGTAGGTATAGCACTCCCCGGCATGCCATCCATATGCCGGATCCGGTGGCTGGCCACAGGATCGAGCTGTAGTCTCAAATAGGTTAAGTTAGTGGTAATCCCCTAGGTCTCCCCAGCATCCAACTCACGTTCGCACTGTATGTCTGGTCCATACCAACTGGCCTGGTTATCAATGGCCAGGCACTTGGCCCGCGGAAAGCCATTGGTCACATAGCCGGTGTGACAGTGATACTGCACCGTGGAGTCCAGGTCGAAGGTCTCCTGTTCCGGCAGGGCAGAGTTCCTAGCATGCTCGATCTGTGGCGGTTTCAGGCAGTAAACTAAGAAGGGTCTCATTTAATTTTGGAAAATTTTAAAACCAAGTTTTTGGGGGATTCCACTTACTGTTTTGCTTGCAAGCCGGCTCAGCACCAGCCCAATTTCCATCCGCCTGACAAAGTCGACTCTGCAAGCCCACCACGTGGTAGTCATGGGGACAGGCGTACGAGGCCCGGGCTCCAAAATGTCGTCCAGCCACAGTGACCTGACCCAGGCTGGGTTGCGCCAGTTCTGGACATTCACGATCTGCAGACAGAGGCATTAAATTGGGTTTAAATATGTTTGAGTTTGAACTCTAACCCGGCTTGATGCAGGAGTTGCCGCAAACGCCATCGCACAAGCACTTTTTCTTCTTGCTCTTGCAGTCCTCGTCGGAGGAGCACTTCCTTAGGCATTTCTGGCCAAGCAGCGTGGCCTGCTCCTCGTCCCGCGGACACTCGGAAGAGGGTGAGTTACGGGGATTTTTGTAGACGCGTCCATCATCATCAGACTCCAAGGAATCATCATCCTCCTCCCAGTCGTCATCGTCATCATCCTGCTGCGGTATCTCCGAGGTGGTCTGCAGGCTGGTACTCACTGTGCTGGTGGGCACGGATGTCACTGAAAGCACACACACACACACAGGTCACAGCTGTTAGTCATCTAGAAGGAAAACAAACCCCCGCCCGGACTCAAGTGCAGGAGCCACCCCTTGTTGGGGCTTCTGTTTTGGTTACGGATTCGCGTCTGTTTTGCTCCGTATGCCTCGCGTGCTGGCAAAAACATTGACCTATTTCCCCCGATGCCTGGTCCAGATGTCAGATGGTTGGGTGCCAGACTCTTTTGGAGCCTGCGCACTGGCCTCCAGCTTATATAATCCCACGCAGCATATACATTTTTCATCTTGGCAATTTCAAGAACTCGAGAAATCTAGGATTATTATTATTCTCCGGTTTCTTAAGTAGTTTATCCTGTTAAGCAATAGCTTGGAAGCCAAGTTCTTGGTCCTGTTTTCTCATGGAAGTATAACCCATTGATGTACCTTTGTAGACCAGAATGGTGGTCACCAGACACTGCAGCAGCAACCGATTCATTTTGATATTATTTAATTGGGTTTTCCTGTTTGATTTTCCCCTTTTCGCAGAACTGGCTCTGCTTTACAGCATCTTAGTTGTTGTATTCGGAATTCCTCGCAAAGGGGAATTTATTGAGAAACTTTTTTGGTACTCTAAGGCCAGAGTTCCGCGTCCCGAGACTTGTCACGTTGAGGTAAAGAAACGAAATGCAGCCAGTCCAGCTGCTTTTCGCCTTTTTCACTTCTGCGACTTTGACAGATCAGGCGAGCAGCACCCACTTTGACAGCTCTCGATTGGTGGTTGGTCCTTCAAAGGGAATGTGAGAGAGAAAAATTAAAGGAAATCATAGGGATTCCTGCTTCACGGAGCTCTAGAAGCCACATATTTTATTTAAAACAAGTATTTCGAATTTTTTTAATTACTTAACTCAATTCAGTTCAGTTCTTTTGTTTTATATTCAAGCAAACAGAGTTCCCTAATAATGTAATATGTAATAACATTTTAAGTTAAATATTTAGGAAATTAAATAAGTAGTAGTGATCTCGAGAGCTTAAAAAGTGCTTGTGTTAAAATAGATAATAAATTTACAGTATGAAAATGGGTAATATTATTGCTTACATAATTTTAGCTTCACGAGCAGATCAAGAAAAATGTTGTCTACTTGGACCTTCATTTTCTTTTTAAGATTTTCTCCATTTTATTATTATTATTATTATTTAATAATAACAGTCACAATAATCGCAATGGAATTAAAATTAGTTTAAGAGGTGTCCAAAACTTGTAATATACTAATGTTATCCTGATAAGCAACTTTTATGTTTCAACCTAAATCGAACCAAAAGTTGAACGTAAAATATATAATTCAATTTCAAATGATTTTTAACAAACTATATTTGCCCTTTAATAAAAACGAAAATTTAATCATTTTAATGATTATAGTTATATTAATTATATATATATTTTAGTTGTATTAATTTAGTTTTCTGATAACAATAAATTAATCATCAACTTCGTTCCATTTCTTTCTGTTTTCTTTTTATCTTTTAATTTGTAATATGACCATCTTGGCGGTTTTGCATAACGGTACTCTGCTAGTTGATTTCAAACGGATTGCAGCCCTAGCAGGAAAGCTGCTGGCAATGGCGGTCTGTGGAAAGCTCCCACAGCTTTCACTTCACGCACTCGCTGGCGAGAGCGATTTTCCAACGCTCGGCGGACGGAATCAGAAGCGGTGAAAACGCACAGCGCCGAGCACGACGACATCGCACACGCACAGCTGCGGGAAAAAGGAAAAAAGCTGCTGGGAAAACGAGGCGCGCATCCAATACAAAAAAAAAAAGAAAAAAACGATAGAGAACCGAACCGAGCGCACACAAAATATACACTTTTCCGGACGAAATGTCTTCGCGGCGAGTGTGTAACAAACAATTTGATTAAGCAATTAATTGAGCAAAGTGCAAGTGCAGTGGGTGGAAAATGTTTTAGATTCGGTTCGCCAGCGGGAGTGCTGCGGGGTCGGGATCGGGTTCGGGGGCGCATATATGAAAAGCGCGTAAAGAAAAGTAAGTGTGCCAGCAAAAAATTGTGTATTAAAATGTGAATAAAGAAATATAACCAACTCGAAACGAGGCATACACACTGCGGGCAGAGTGTGTGTGAATGTGACATCTGCGGAGAGGAACGCGAGCGAAAATACGTACTTAAGTTTCGATACCAAATTAATTGATATTGAACATTTTCGAAATTCCTGTGCTGCGACAAAATGTCGAAGAACTGCGCGATTCAGAGGCATATATACTCTGTATATAGTGGGATTTATTTTTAGCGCATTTCCCTTTCCTACCACCCCCCCAACAAAATCAAAATTGGACGCGAAAGACGAAAAGTGTGTGTATGTGCGCGTTTTTGGGGCGATTGAAAATATTTTGATATCCAATAAATAAATACTTAACTAAAGGAACACTCGTACTTAGCATCTATAGCGATTTCGATGGCTGCCAGAGAGAGACGCAAGAGCCAGAGCCATTGCCATAGCCAGAGGGAGAGGGTCTCGCGCGTCAACAATTTTCAAGCGTGTACACAAAAATCCAGCCAAGCGCATTGCCCGCAATAAATCCGAGACGAGACCCAGACCCAGACCCATCGGAACCCACCACCCACCACCCAGCGGCCAGCCGCGAGGCATCCAACCACCTAACCACCCACCACCCGGGCCAGTTTAGTTCACTCGGACCACTTGATTAACGCCAATGCCAATTCAAACGCAGAAAATCTCTATAAAAGTTCCAGCAGCGAGCATGCGTTCGCTTCGCAGAGCTTTTCTCGCTTTCTCTCTCTCAGAGTTTCTCTCTGTCTCGTGCGCTCATCCTTTCTCTCAGTCACTCGCTCCTTTCCAGGATGTGTTCCGTTTCCCCGAGCACTTTGTTTTTGTCATTGACCTGTTGTGGAAAAAAATGACATAGAGAATTCATCAAATATTAATCGCAATGATTATGAGACAATTATATGGATTAAGTGCTTTCTGTCTTAATTTTGAGTTTTTGTAGGACCTACATAAATCGATAAATGCCTTCCGAGATATCCTCAAACAGCTGTGAGGTTTTAATTAAACATTCATAAATGTTATATCTTGTTTATAATTTTCAAATTAAGCAGTGTTTAATTTAGCTAAAATACAAATGATCATAACGCTATTACTCAATATCCGGTTAAATCAAACTGTTACTAAAAATCTTGTCTGGCCAGTTTCTCGACCCGACAATTTTGAATCCTTAACTAACTTACATATGTTGATGTTACTCTGGAAGAGTTGGTTTTTGTTAAAATATAAAGGATTGTAACGCTATTTCTCAATATCCGGTTAAATCAAACTGTTATTAAAAATCTTGTCTTGACCAGTTTCTCGACACGACACTTTTGAATCCTTAACTAACTTACATATGTTGATGTTACTCTGGAAGGGTTGGTTTTTATCCTCGATATATACCTTAAAGTTAAACAAAAGATAACATTCTTTATAAGAAATGCTGGATAGAAACATTAACAGAAGCCTTTTCCCGTCAAGTCCTTTTCGGCTCCTTCTCAAGTTTATTTTGAATTCAACTTCTTTGTTGAGATAGATATCAGGGGATGTAACATTAAAATGAGGAAACGATTCTAAGGACGTTTTTTAAACTTGTTAAAGTCAAAATTAAACTGTGAAAATCTATACCAGATTAAACAAATCTTTGTCATTTGATTACAGGACATCAATAGTCAATTGTAATTTAAAGACGAGGAAATCAAGTGAAGGAGCGTCATGGGCAACGTGTGCAGTTCCGGCCAAAAGAAAAAGAAGGACAAGGACAGTGCCTCCGAGAAGTCCGACGAGTAAGTACTTGAAATCTCAAGGAAAACCATTCCCTTAACTAAAACTAAACAAATCTCATTGTGATTGTAGCTCACCTCCATATCAGGAGGCGGATAAGAAGGACCTGATCTCCACCGAGTCCAATGCCGGCGACGAGAAGCGCGCTCCCCTAGCAGCTGTTGAGGCGCTGCCGGATGTCACTCCTTTGCCGGAAGCCAATGGCAATCAGCTGCAGGACCAACAGAACCATCAGCCACCGACAGCCCTGGGAAAGGCCAGTGGAGCAGACAAGGGTGAGTATCTATACAGGGGTTTAAACGAGGAAGAATGGATAAAGGGAATCCTTTTTTTTCATAATCAAGACTTTCTTCAAAATTTTCAAATAAACCACAACCATAATTTGTTTTACCAACAGATTCGAATACCACCACACCGCAGGGGGCGCAGGCGCCTAGTGATGTGGCCAATGCCAATCCTGCGGCCGGTAACTTGAGCGTGCTGCAGGGCAAGCCCCCACCTGGCCGTAAGATCGAGCGGGACAAGAAGGTCGTGGTGTACATCCTGGCCGACAACAGCACCGAGTATAAGAAGCACAAGCGCGTTGTCCATAGTTTGTACAAACACTTCAAGAGCAAGTGCCAAAGCCGGGGCTTCGACTTCATTATCGCCGATGTCCATGACAGTGAGCCCGAGACGGAGCCAGGGAATGGCAATGCCAAGAAGGACTTTTCCCGCCTGCAGGAGGTGAAGCGTTGGACCCAGACGCCGCTGGAGGCGCAGGGCGGGCATGAGGAGGCGGCCAACTGTCTGAGCGAGATCACGCGTCACTCAGCCGGAGCGTATATCGTGCCCGTGTTATTCCTGGGCGCCACACTGGGCACTCCAATGCTGCCACTGACCATTGAGAGCCAGGACTTCACCTCGGTGCTGAGCACAGCCAGTGAGGCAGAGCGTCTATTACTGGAGAAGTGGTACACCATCGACAACTCGTACCAGCCAATGTGCCACCGCCTCCACGCTCAGCAGGTGGACCCGTACTCCGGCCAGGCAAATGGGGAGCTCAACGAGCTCCTAGCTGTACTGTTGCGTCTCTTTTCCGAGGACGTCAAGGACTCCTATTTGACCACTGTGGTAGAGCAGGAGATCAACAACACTGTGCTGATGAGCCAGGAGCTTGCCAAGCGCTGCATTTGGATTCAGACAGGTCAGATGGCGCGGGCGCCGGAGAACAGCAGCCAGCTGGAATTGGAAGTGCAGCGCCGGATCAGCCGCGTCTATTCGAAGCTCAAGAGTCAGCTTTGCGAGAAGAATCTCATCCGGCTGCTGCCCACGATGAACATCCTGGATGAGGAACTATCGGCCGTGATCGAGAGCCTGCTGGACAAGGCGCTGGCCGGAATCTTCGAGGAGCATCAGTTGAAGAGCAGCATTCCCTACAACACGCTGGGCGTGGATCGGGTGTTGCTTGAGGAACTGCAGCTGGTGGGTCATTACTCAAAGCTGCTTGCCCAGAACTCGGCCAACTTCGACATTATGAACGATGTGAAGCGATACATCCGGGACAACACCGTCCAGCCCCTGGTCGTGTCCGGTGCCAGGGGCAGTGGCAAGAGTGTCCTGGTGTCCAAGATCATGGAAAATGTGCACCGCTGGAAACCGGAGGCACAGCTTATACTTAGGTAGTTGAATATTTAATATTATCTACGATTCAAATCAGTTAGTAGTTGACAAATCAATCTATATCTTTTAGATATGCCAATCTCAGTGCCCGGTCCTCGGATCTCACCTCTCTGCTGGGCTCAATGGCCAACCAGATGTCAGTTCTGGAGACGGGTCATCAATGCCAAGTTCCACACGTAAGAGAAGTCCTTTGCAGGATCTACTGTCAGAATGTGCTAATGCCTTTTTCCCTGCACCCAAACAGACTTTAGAGGCCTACGCCCGTGTGATACGCGAGATTTTGGATCGGCAGCAGCGCTTTTTCGTCCTAATCATTGACGGGGTGGATGAGCTGCAGCGGGATGAGACCCTCGACTGGCTACCCCTACAACTGAGCAGTACTAAGCTGATCCTTACCGTTAGCGAGCTGGCGGAGGATAGCGAGGACGGAGCGGACGGCAGTGGGGCTGGAGGAGACGGCTTTGATATGCTCGCCGCGCTGGCGCAACTGGGCATACCACAGCGCTGCTTCCTGCGCGTTCGCCAGTTTACGGAGCGCCAGTGGCACGATATCCTTAGCTCCGGCGGCGGTGACTTCTACGCGGCCAATGGGGCGCTCAAGCTGCCCGACGAGTGGAAAACACTGCACGGCAAGACACCTTACCACGCCAAGTCACTGTGGTGGCTCGCCTGGCTGGGACATGTGGCTCAACCGATTAGCGAGATTGGCGACATCTCCGGACGGATCTTGCAGGTGCTGGAGTCCAAGTTCGCCACCGATCAGGTGGAACTGCTGCTGCTGATCGTACGGCTGTCGCCGTGGGGCATACGTGAGAGTGACTGCCTGGGCGTGTTCCAGAAGATGACACAGGTGGAGGCGCAGGTCGCCTTTAAGATCTGGTCAAAGTTCTGCTGGCTGATGGGACCAATGCTATTAGGTCTTAAGAATATTAGGATAGCAGACAGGAGCTTTGGACGAGCGGTCCTGGCGAGGTACGCGCAGAAGCAGTGGCTGGTACATGAAGCGCTGCGGGACTACTTCGACCGGCAGGACAGCGAGTTCAAGGGTAGCCAGGGTGTCAACACGTAAGTATTTCCTGAACTGCAGTAAAATGTCCCTCCGAATGTTAGCTTAGTTTTCCAAACCTAATTTGGTTTCCATTGTTTCTTTTAAGAGAAGATGTAGAACATAGAAAAGTATATTGTCTCCTTTAAACTTAGAATTGTATAACTAAGTAATTAAATTCTCAATTATCTTCATCATCAGCTACAATTACCAAAAGTACTTAAAACTGCCTTATCATCACTTCTGTGCCGTGATCGAGGACAAGCCGGCGCCGCACAAGATTGACATACTCTTCAACTGCTTTTACTTTACGGATTTACAGTGGATTGCCAATAAGGTGCATGCCACCGGGCCAGATCACCTCCTGAACGACATCCTGCAGGCCGTCTGGCTGGCCAAGTCCGGCGGTGACGATTCCACATCCGAATATGTCCACATCCACTTCCTCAAGCGATTCCTTGAGCAGTATCTGCACGAACTGAGCTACGATGGACAGCAGTTCTACACGCTGATGAAGTACTACCTGAAGACGTCCTTCAGAGAATCACCGGAGCTCAAGGACGACGAAAAAATACGCTCGTGGTGGGAGTGCACAAACGAGCTGGAGTTCGCTTTCCTCGAGATTCTCAATGCCGACCTAGATGCAGAGAATTGCAATCGGACAGATGAAGCTCCAGAGACAGGGGATGGCGAAGCTGATGCTCCTACAGCTACTTCCACAGTCAAGGGCTACGATGTCCTGATGAATCTTCCCCAGCCCGGTTGCTATGTGGCCTCCCTGTCCACCGAACGAGCTGAGATCTGTATTTGGGATGTAAAGAACTGTTGCCGAATCCGGGAGCTGCAGGGGATCCAACAGCCGACAGCCATGTGTCCCGTCGGCAGCTACGAGGCGGCAGTTCTTTGTCGGCGTGAGATCCGTGTCATTAATCTTGACGAGGGCAAGTTTAAGGTGGGTTTTTTTTGAGAAGTTATATACCATTATATTACATTATTCGTGTCCAATTCACAGGTTACTCTTAAGGGAGTTATGAACCAGAAGATGCCATACTTTGGGCTGCACGACCAGAATCACTTGGTATGCCTATCCCGGAACCGCATGTACGTCAACCTGATGAACCTGGAGTCAGGTGACTGTGTGACCACCTTTAAGGCAGGCGAAGATCGTTTCCTCAACTCTCTGCTTGTCTCCGGCGATGGACGGTAATTTCAATTATATTCTAAAATGTAAAAGGCTTTTAAGATCTCGTTTTGGATTTTCAGAATCTTGGTCTGCGGCGATGAGACTCAAAAACCCTTCCCCCTTCTCGTATGGCACCTGTCGCAGCGTAAGCTGCTTTACGACCTCCGAATCCCACACCATGACTTCCTCACCTCACTTTCGGCGATAACCCACGAGGGCTCCTACGTCTGCGTGGTGGCCAAGGAGCTGAACGAGCCGACGACTCCGAACTTCATTGTGGTGTACGACCTGCAGAGCGGCACTCTGTTTAAAAAGTGGAAACCCAGCTGCAATACAGTTTCACTGGCGATCTCCCAGGTCAATGCCTGCGTCATAGCCGGCCTGGAAGACGCCAAAATCCTGATCTGGGACCTCGTCACGGGCAATTGCAAGAGCACTCTTATCGGCCACAATGCCCCTGTGACTTTCCTAAAGCTGGATCCGCTGGGCAAGGTTCTGCTCTCCTATGACAAGGAAGGTCGTGACGGCGCCATTCGCATGTGGGAGCTCAATTCTGGTATGACAATCTCTGGAATCCTTGAAATTGAAGTCTTCATTTATCTCTTTTTACACAGCTAAAACCTTGGCCGTTTTCAAGCCACCGGCTCAGGTATGCACCAGCGAGATACTGCCTAATGGGGCCTTCGTGGTGCTGGCCCTCAAGGATCGCAATTCCCTGCTGACTCTGGCCCTCAAGAATTATGGCAGCGGATCGGGCGACGCTCTCGAAGACGATTGCGGCGGCACTCTGTACGGCAATCCCGACAACCAGCACAAAATTTTCGACTTGAGTAATTAAATCAATTAACGCTAGCTATCATTATTCAAATTATAAATGAAATGTAAGCCAGAAGAAGGATCTCTGGATTATTATAAATATGGCAAACAATTTCTCATGCATAATTCATTAGTTGTATGAAAAAATTCTTTGAACAAATCTTACCAAATGTACAAAACAAAGCAAAGGAAATCCAAAGAAATTAAAACTCTTCAAAAATCTACTCATTAGCCGGGTAAGGTTTCGTTATTTATGTGGTGGCAAACAGATACAGCAGATTTTTTGCAAACTGGATGATTTCGGTGCCGCCGAGCTTGGAGGTACCGTAGATGCGGTCCACGAATGTTATGGGCACCTCGGCAATGCTGTAGCCATGCTGGCGTGCCCTCACCAGCATTTCCATCTGAAAGACGTAGCCCTTGGATACGCAGCTGGCAATGCATTTCTCCAACACATCCTTTTTGTATAGGCGAAACGATCCAGTCAGATCGCTGGCATTGGGTCGCAGCAGCACCTGGGACAGGAAGTTTGCGCCTCTGGAGATGAGCTTGCGCTTGAAATCCCAGCCATAGACGCCGCCATCTCCGGCGTACCGAGTGCCCGACACAATATCGTAATCGCCGCTCTCCTGCAGCTTTATGAACTCCGGTATAAATTTGGGCTAGATCAACAGGACAATTATGCATTACTTTCAATCCCACGTCAGTTTTGCCCGGTTATCTATGCTCACATGATGACTCAAGTCGGCGTCGATGATTATGATAAAGTCTCCAGTGGCGTGCTTGATGCCATGGATGTAGGCTGTGCCCAATCCCAGCTTGGATCCGCGAGGTCTCAGCACAATCTTATCCTCACCGTATATGCGCTGAAGATCCTTGGCCACGTCCAGTGTTCCATCCGGACTGCCGTCGTCAATAACAATCACCTCGTAGTCGTATCCGCTGCAAAAGGTAAACTTGCAATGGATATTTTTAAACCTTTTAGAGAGCCGCTCGTCACCTAGATTTCATGTATTTCACAATAAGCCATATTATAATTGGCAAATTATCCTTTTCGTTGTAGGTGGGCAGCAGTATGCTGTATTTGTGAGCATTTGTTGGCATGGCTATAAATTTCGTTTGAAACCATGTAAATAATTATAATTATAACAGTGTTGGTAAACCCCAGACGTAAAACAGCTGATAGGTAGCGATTCGATGTCTCTATACCGATAGACATATCGCTATCGAAAGACATCGATTGGTTAGCAAAACGGTTTTGGCTGGTTCTGTGATTTTGTGCAGGAATTTCCTGCCTACGTTTAGTCCCTCGGTCGTCCGTTTAATTTAATTGTAGTTCAATGTGCAAGCGGAAGTCGCGATTGTGTGAGTGGTAAGCCCCTGCATAGTTGTGGGCTTTTAACGTCGCCAGCATGGCCAAAAAAATACCTTTCAATGTGGTATTCGCCTCAGGTAAACAAACAAACAGGAAATGTGCATAATTTATTAGCTCTTTATTTTTGTTTTCCATGTATTTTCAAGATTTTATGATTTCTTTTTTCGTTATTAATTTTATTTATAGTTCCGTCTGGAGTTGACCGAAAGCTCTCGGTTATCCCTGTCCCCGTCCCCTCCTTTCGCAGCTCCATTGCACTTGAGAAATCGATAAGTCACGCATACGCCTAGTGCGCCAGGACGTTAGGATTCAATATAGGAATGCAAGTTAGCTATTTAATTCCAGCCTAGTTGGCTACAATCTGTCAAAATTTGTCACAGCATCTGCCGATTTTGCATGCATCATTACCTCCGTGGTGGGGAATAAGCCACTGCAACGGCTATGGCCATAATTTTTCTTTATATTATTGATAGATTGCCGGTTGTATATCGCCTTCTGTCTGCATATTCAATTAGAGTTGCAGCCAGAGATTTATATTTGGCGCGGCGCCAAGCTCTTTATTTTTGTACTGTCAAAGTTCTATTAGTCTGCCTCGTTCCCCTGCCGATGATCTACTGGACCTGCTTTTCCGTCTTCTTCTTAGACCTATACCTGAGCTTAGTCAGCAGGGAGAGGACTGGTGAGATGATGGTGAGCACATACACCAACGCAGTGACCAGCATCATGGCTGGAATAAAGTCATTGTCAACAAACTTAGTAAAGAACTTGGAGTAGTAGCCTAGATAGATGGCTCCCATGCCCAAGCTGAAGGTGAGGAGACCGAACAAGTTGTGGCGGAAGCGCAGCTCCGATGGAGGGAAGAACTTTAAAGCGAACTTTGGCTGGAAATAGTTAACAAAGCCGCCGACGATGCTGGCCGCACATCCGAAGGTGGCAGCCGCGCCTGAAATTAGTCAATTGTTATTACGACTTGGGAGGATGGAGGGTGTTACTGTCTGTTGAATCTTACCTACTCGTCCGTGCCACGTGTTGAAGTGCACATCCTTGTTCGAGAACTTTCCGATTCCCCCCAACAGAACCATAGAGCCGCCCACGATTTGAAGGATGGCATGGAATCGCGACTTGTTGCGGTGTGACAGCCAACGAGTGACGGGATTAACTTTGTTGTGTGACATCATGGCCTGGGCGATTAGGACGTGGAACTGTCGAGAGCAGGGAAAGCCTTCTTAGACGATGGGTCGATAAGATAGCATGGCAAGTGACGTTGCATGTTCACTATCCAAATCGAAGCATAATGATTACACGCTTATCGCACTATACTCACTCCGATACCAGTCATGAACATATGCATGGCAGTGTCCTTGAAGTCCAGGCTGCGCGCCAGGACGAAGAAGAATGCAGCCACCAAGAAGATTAGGATGTGGTTTATGCTGTTCAGCAGGCTCTGGATTTGCAGCCAAGCGGTGGCGGTCGTGTAGGCCTCCGGCATTATTGTCACTTTTCTTATTTAGAACCTTTCAGTAGATTAAGCAAAGTATCTGATAGTTTCTAATACTATCAGATAGCAAATAGTTTGACTACGAGACGTATAACTATTATTAGTTCACACAATAACCCGACCGGCTAAGAGAGACGACTGAACTCGTGGGTCACTTGTCGTCGCTTAAATACAAAACAAAGGGGAAAAGAGTGTGAGAGCGATAGGCAAAAGAGAGGAACGCTGGCGAGTTAGAGGCATACAGCTGTAGAGCATATAGTAACACCAGCAAACACACTTGAAAATGGTCTTAGAAGTTAAATCCCTCATTAAAATGATTATTAAGCAACCCAAGTTATATATAAAAATATTCAATACTTTTTGTTCATTTTGTTTGGATAGTTTAAATTAATTAAATATTTAAAAGTTGCGAGGGGGTAGTGCTCAAAGTACGAAAGAGAATTGGAATGTGATATCAGTTATTACCTGATAAAGAGAGCCGTTGTGTCACCTGCTGATTTGCAGCTCTTAGGCGCTGCTCATAATGCTGACTTGATAATTTCTTACGCCCGTCTAGACGAGGATGTTTCCTTTCCGGCCAGCGAGCTTAACACACACGGACCCACTGTCCACGGCTGGCGGAGTGCTACGGACAGCGGACTCACCACCCATGACATAATCCTCCGTTTCCACCAGCCTGCCAAGATCTATCGCATCCAACTTCTGGCCCACCAGTATCTCATACGTAAGTGGAAGCCTGCTCTAGTTATTAAAGAATTAAACCTAATAACCCTGCTTTCACAGCTGAGAAAGTGGAGCTCTGGCTGCACTATTCGCCCAAATCCCTGCCCAGCACACCGTCGTCGCAGTACTTTGACTTCCTTGGCTTTGTGGCCTTGGCGGACAACGCCTACACCAACTACAAATCGAGGGAGCTGCAGAGCGTCACTGTTAGTCCCAGGAGGGGTACGCACCTGAAGCTGCGCCTTATTGGAGTCCACGGCAACGAATTCAATGCCGCAAATCAGATCTCTCTGCTGGCAGTCAACGTTTTGGGTGAGGACCTGGAAGTGAGCCCAACCAACAATGCCAACAATGGCGAGGAGCACCACTCAGGCAGCGACGCCCCACCGTTGGACACAGCCACCGGGGAACTGGCTTTGGCCTCAGTCTGCGACGACCTGCTCTTCTCCATGTACGTCGAGGAGTCCATCGTTCACTACATCCGGGAGCTGGAGCAGCGCAAGGCACAGGCTGTCAGTGCCGAGCGATTCGAATACGCCCGCAAGTTAAAGCTCTGCATGACCGCTTTGAGAAGCGCCGGTGAGCGCCTGGGACGCTATGCCCTGGCTAAACGGCAGGCGGTGCAGCAGGAGGACTTCACCACAGCTCGTCTGCGCAAAGACCAGATCGAGATGTATCGGACAGCGGTGCTACGCCAACTGCAGGTGCAGCAGCTGCTCGAGCCGCAGGGCGTTCTTAGTGCCAACGATCAGAGCTGTGAGATCTATGCGGGCGGAAAACCCAGTCTGCCGGCGGCCCCCAGCCTGCAGGAGGTGGCCCAGGCACTGGCCGAGGCTGCATTCAGTCCCAAGAGCATGGCCAGTCTTAGTCTGGACGAGAAGTCCTCCACGGACGGCTCTCAAGGTCAGGCAAGCAATGACACCGCTGTGGTGGCTCCTGCTTCTGCTCTAGCTCCCGCCTCTCTGCAGCCGACTCCCACACCCACGCTTGGCGGCTGGCGGAAGTCGCACGACGAGCTGCCACAATCACCTCGTCTGGCTTCGCGGCACAGTTCACCGATGTCCAGCAGGCAGGGATCGTTGCGGCGCCGAAACAAGAGCGTTCCGCGCAACTCGTACGAAGACTACGAGGAACGGGCCATACCTACGCTGCGACAGTAAGTACCGTGTGTGTGTAGAACGTGTGTACCAATAGGTAAACAATTGTGGTTATTTATGTTTTTGTTTAAATAGCTGTCGGATTTCAGTGTTGCATGACGACTCGTTTGCCGTAGACTTAGCTCCTCCAATGATTTCCAACACTGGCGGCAGCCAGTAGTAAGTAATCGATACACACGAATAACGGTCGGTTTTATTTCAAGTTTAAATTTAAGCTGATCGTTTTTTTTTAAGTCAGGACTTTCGTCCCGTGACTTTTTACATTTTAATCAAAATATTCGGAAGCCGAAGTGACCTTTAATTAGTTAATATATTAGTTGATTTATGTTTTTTCGTATTTTTATCTACTTCTATAACCCGTAAATGTATCCGTAAACGTTGCCATTCCTAAACCAAAAACCCAATCAAATCGCTCACAGTTCAAATACTAATGAATTTTTAAGGGAGTGCCAAGGCAACGCGCTGCTGGAAGCGGATCCCAATCGGGGGCGCTCGCGCTTGAACGACCGCGAGCGCCGCCAGGCAGCCCTCCCTATCCTGGTCTTTGGCAGTGAATTGGTGAGTACAATCGATCGATGGATTTGAAACCCATCCCAACTATTTTTCTTCCTACTAATTTATTAAAATATCCTTTATTCCCCTAGGTGGAGCAGTTTTACTCCCGGCAATTTCAGGATCGCGAAGATGGCTTGTTGCGCCTGCGCAATTTCCTTAAGGAGCACGAAGTCGAGGAGGAAGCGCCTTGTAACGAGCACGCCGCTAGTCCGAACAAGGTAGCCCGCAGCGCTGCACTACTTCTCCACCGAGCGGTACGAGACGCAGTGTATTCTGTGTTTAACCAGGCAACGGAAACGGTGCGGGTTCTGTTCCTGGAGTATGTACCAGGACGTGTTTCGCCCAGCGAAGTGGCTCGATGTGTGGACCGCCTACTGCCCGAGCTGCTGGCAAAGTCCGGTGACCCGTCGGCCCGATTGCACACTCTCGCGCAGCACACGATACTGAGTATAGCCGCCTGTCCGGAGGTGGCGGAGCAGCACTTGGTCGCCCCGGCCCTGTCACGTAGCGTCGGTTCCGGCACTCACCAACGTCTGGCCATGAGTCGTCTTCAAATGCTAGAGCAACTGGTCCATACACAAGGCATCAGCACGGATAAGCATAGCGGTCTCACCTGCCGGGCACTTTCCGAGTGCGGCTGTTCCGGCATCCACCATCCTGCGGAGCCTGTGCGAAAGGTGGCTGAGCGTATCCTGCTTCTCGTCTACAAAGTTAATCCCCGCTTGGTGCGCAAACAGCTGCCTCCCGATGACGATATTACGCGTAGGAATCTCCTGTACCGTCAACTCTTCACCGAGTTTGATAAGCTGGATCTGGACCGCAAACAGGAGTTGCTCGAGGCCAACAAGTACCCGGGAGGTGGTCACAGTTCGGGTGATGCGACAACGCCTCCGGCGGAAAAGGCCTCCACTAGTTCGGATGCCACGCGAATAAAAAGCCGCAGCGCACAAGGTCTGGTCGTTCCACTCGCCAGCTCCAGCAATGGTTTTTCGAGCTGCAATGGGAAGCAGCAGTATAATGAGCAACTGAAGCGCTCTATGCTATCCGCCTCAAACTCTCGCAAGGGTTCCGCGTCTAACTCAGAGTCCACCGAGGACAACTCTCCCAAAATGTGAGTATTAATGTCTGTACAGAAATCGTCATGATTGCTTTAAAAGGAAAATCAAAGTGAAAATAAAGAAATTATAATAATGTTAATAAATTCTCTCTGCTACGTTTCAGACATTGCCCCTTCTGTGACTGGTCATGTTCTGGCAGTGACGTAAACCAACTAGATCGCCACTATTGGAAGTCATGTCCTTTCCTCACCAAGTGCCCACAGTGCAGTCAAGTGCTGGAAGTAGCGGCCCTTAACTATCACCTTACAAGTATGTTGAAAGTCTCACCAATGTATCTTTATTTATTTAATTTATTATACAATATCTTATCTTATTTATCTTCCCCCAAAAGTGGAATGTGATGCCAAGGAGAGCTATGTTGTCTGTGCCCGTTGCACTGAATCGGTGCATAAACAACTTTATGAACTGCATCAAATGGAAGACTATTGCCGAGGTAAGTCACTTATGTCCCATTTGGATCAACAAATTAAAGGTGTATGTATTTCAGAACTTAAAACTGGGGCCGCTCGTTGCCCACTCTGTCATGACGACGTTCACCTGCCCCAGGATGGCGGCTGGAAATTGCATCTGCTTAGTGCCGGCGGTTGTCCTGGGAATATACGCAAAAAGAATCTCAAAAAGTCAAATTAATCGAGCAATCTATTGGCATTCGTAGCGAATTTATTAGAGCAACTAACAAATAAAAATACTAACCCGGAGACACTTACTCAACCGAGCTAATAACTACTTGCAACTGCAATAGCCATAAGCGTTAATTAAATAAATATGTTTTACACTCTATGTATTCTCTTTAGACACATTTTGTTATGCGAATTAGTCTGATTTATTTTGTATCCATTCTTTTGTATGTTTTCTAACGCAATGTGATTTGTTAGCTGTAACACGAATTTTTGAAACGTCCTTACAATAAATAAAGCCCATCCATACAGTTTTAAACATAAATATCTGAATTTATTTCTATCGATGAAATTGTGCAATAAACATTAAAAAGCCCAATCGCTTGGACGCTTTTACACCTACAAAAAAGTACCGGTCGTTAATAAATTTTTACTTTGCATTCACGGCATTTGTACATATTCCGATGCAGATACAATTGTATCTATTTATTTCAGATACAGATAAAAATGTATCTGTTTATTTCAGTTGCAGATACAAATTTATCTATATACATATTCATACATGCATATATTTTTATAAGTACACCAAATGCAACTTAATTGGATTGATTAAAAATCTTTTGTCATATGCACATTCATATAAAAAAACAACTGAGGTCATGATAAGAGCCTCTATTTTAAAAGCAAATATTTTGTGTTTGTGGGTCGGTATATTAAATGAATTAATAATAATTATAATTTTTAAATATATTTGAAACTGTTAAAAAAAAAGGAGGCTTAGAAAAGGAAATTTGTTTTTTAGTTAAAAAGACATAACTTTAAAAACTTTTCTGTAGCTTTCTTTCTTGTTTTAATACCTTAGCACAATTTATTTAAGTAACCTTATACAACAGGGAATTTCTATACTATACTCTACTATAAAAACTTTGTTTTGATTACTATTATTTTTGTGCTCACGACTGTATAATTCTAGTGTTGCAAAACGACGCGCTATGTGTGCGTTTTTCTATTTTCAAATATGCCAGATATACCAGATATACCATACATAGCCAGAAGTCAGCTAAACGGGCAACTGCGCGCGATTGGAAGCGTGAAAGAACAGCCGGCGGCGGCAGCGGCAGAAATTAAATCAGTTTTTGCAATATAAATAAACGCGAGCTATAACCCGGCGCGCGCTCTAATTTATGCATTACCGCTGTTAATTTTCACTTCGAGTTTCGATTCGGTTAAAAAAAATTGGCGAAATGTTCTGACTGTCAGTTAAATAAACGCCGCTATTATCAAACACACGCCCGCTTCCCTCTCCACCGCTCTCCTTGAAGCCGGCTGTCGCGTGTTTTTCCATTCAGATTAATAAATTCTTCAGATTCCGATCAACAAACCAAAATGCAGAAGCTATTTAGACGCTTGATGGACCACCAATACCTGACCAGGGCCCAGATCAATGGCTTCGACAACTACAAGGTGGGCAAAAGGATGCTTGAATAGGATGTGTAGGCGGCGACGGCGGCAGCGGAGGCAGCTGTACCATCAGCAGAGCTGTCGAAAAATTTCCAAGAAGTCCAAACCAGTTCTTGGTACTCTGTACTTGAGTTTATTAAAATCTATTTTTAGAATCGAGACCAGGCTGAGGCACAACATCCCGATCAAGAACGCCCGTAGAGCCGTGGAGTTTCCCGCTTTAATTGATATAATTTATTTGCTTACAGTACAGCGCCATCGACACATCACCGCTGAGTCAGTACGTCATGCATCCCTTTTGGGATTGGCTGGTCAAGGTAAGGGGTTTGCTCTGCAAAATTATTGCCTGCAAAAATCGATAACTAACGCCCATACCACCCCTCCAATCGCAGTTCTTCCCGCGCTGGTTTGCGCCCAACCTGATGACGTTCCTGGGCTTCCTGTTCAGCGCCATGAATCTGGTGCTGCTGTCGTACTACGACTGGAACTTCAAAGCCAGTTCCGGCGAGGAGGGCACCACGCCCATTCCCTCATGGGTCTGGCTCTGCACTGGCATTAATATATTCGTGGCCTACACGCTGGATGGGATCGACGGTAAACAGGCGCGACGCATCGGCTTGTCCGGCCCGCTGGGTGAGCTCTTTGACCATGGCTTGGACTCGTACACGGCCATGCTGATACCGACCTGCCTGTACAGCATTTTTGGCAGGAGCCAGGTGTACTCTGTGCGGCCGATGCGGATGTACTACGTCTGTCTGACGGTCTACTTCAATTTCTTCGTGTCGCACTGGGAGAAGTACAACACGGGGATTCTGTACTTGCCCTGGGGCTATGACCTGAGCATGTGGGGCAGCACGGCCATGTACCTGGTCACCTGGTGGATGGGTTTCGAGCGCTGGAAGTTCGAGCTGCCGCTGGGCTCCTATGGCACCCTGCCGTTGGGCAATGTCATGGAGGCGGTGCTGCATGTCAGCGCTATGGCCAATCTTCCGCTAGTCATCCTTAACGTGTACAAGTAAGTCGAATGCTTAATGTAATAGTTGATGCTTTACTTTAACGGCCTTCTTATCTTAGTTCTTATAAGCATCGGACTGGCCGGCTTTTATCGTTCTGGGAGGCAATCCGACCGATGTGGCCCTTTTTAACCTACTTTATTATTCTGTTGACTTGGCCCTATGTCTCGCCCAACAACATCATGGAAACGGATCCGAGAGCCATTTTCATGCTGAGCGGTACCATCTTTTCCAATGTCAGCGTGAGTACCAACTAACAAGGGCCAAGGGTACGATAAATCTCATTTCATATAAATGAAAATGTGATTTAAATAGGCTATGCTCAAAAATGTGGGTAAAAAATAGTCATTTAAAAATACAAATTAGTGTGTATAATTTGCTTTATCAAAACAGTGTCGCGTGTGAGGTTGAATCATATAATAATCAAGATAAGGGCGGGGTGTGTCGACGTCTGTAGTGGCCCCTTTTGGCCTGGAGTTAACTGCCAAACAACTTCCAACAACTTTTAATGAGTCATTTGACTTTGCCCATATCGACATTCGACATTGATAAAACAAAAAAAAAACACAGTCTGGAAAATATTTCTTCGAAATGCCGCCCTTTTGCTGCGGTGGTCGGCGTTGCGCCAAGGATTCGGAGCAGGAAAAACTGAACGAAGGACAAGGTGGCGATTCAAAAGATCTCGTTTACACCACCACCGCAGAATATGAGCGTCCATTATCCCTGAAGTTCTATGCTCGCCACGACTGGCCATATTTCAATTGCACAGATACGGATATCCGGCAAATACGGGAGAAGCTTGACCCAGACTCACTGAAGAATGCCAAAAGAATGGCTAGCGTCGATGAGGACGAGGAGGAGAAGTATGAGTTGAAGCATAGCACACCTCAACCGATGACCGTAAACCAGATCTATGGCTGGTACTCGGATCGAGCTCACCGCTACCTTAAAGAAGACAGAGGCACATTCGTCTTTCCCCACGAAAACGATCCGATGATTGAGCAGATTCTACGAGACAAAATACACACTCACTAGAGGAATGTGTGATTAAAGCTTTACCATTTTGACGAGTTTAAAATTAAAGTCAGCATATATAGTTAAAGAATATCCCACTTATGCTCTTATTATTAGTTACATATTAGTGAAATTGCTTGAATTGAATTGAATTGAAAAAGGACAGTATCTTAAAACAAATTCCAATTTAAAAAATCATCCTTAAGGTTGGTGAATACAAATATTTGTTATTATCGGTTTTGGATATCGTTAAGTCTTGCGTAACTCTCTTTTGCGATACCGCATAGTTAATTATATATATATACATCTTATACAATATTTATCCGTAAGTACGCGTCTTTTTATATACATCCCTAGTTAATACTTCTATGCCTACTCGACCTCATTCTCACATTTAATTTGTACTTTTTTGCAGTGTCGTCTGATCGTTTCCCAAATGTCGGTGACGAGGAGCGAGGCTTGGCACTGGCAGACTCCCATGTTCTTGATCTCCTTCGCCTTGAGCCTGTGGCTGCCATTGCTGGAGAGGCCGCTGCTCTACATGCTGCTGTTGGTGACCACCCTGAGTCACTGGCACTACGGAGCCAGTGTGGTGAATCAGATGTGCGATCACTTTAACCGCGTCTGCTTCACAGTGCACAAAAGAGTGCCGCTGGAGGATAAGAAGACGCTGTTCAGGGAGCCGATGAAGAAAACTGTCTTGGATCCGTACGAGGGGCCGTCGAAGAAGAATGAGTAGACAAATGCCAGCTATATATGTGCATGCGTCTTATCCGGGAATTGCGTCGACCTTTTAATTTTAGCTGCGATTTTTGTTGCACGTTTTGTCTGTACATTATGGAGGCTGTTTAGTTAAAACGATCGATCTTGTGAGATTATGTATAATTTGTCATATAGTTAGAATATATATTTAAACAACGGACATCCTAGTGAGTGCTGCAGTAGTGTTTGGAGCCTGTTTCGGCATATCCCAAAGGACTTTTAACGTAATGCTCTCTTCCAATGAATACCCTTAAACTTAAACTTATAATGACGACTACTTTTTCTGTATTAAATCTTTACTCTACAATGACCCATCGTAGTAGATCAATTGCATGAACAAAGGCATTACAATTATTCTGTGTTGCTGCTAAGATATCACATAAGTATTAGTTGATAGATAACAGACATGTTCCAGTCCATCAACTCAATTATGCTTTTAACTTCTTTCTAACTGTATTGCAAACCAAATATTAACTAAATACCTAGAAAAACTATACAAATTACCGCAAAGCTCGCTCTCGTCATCTGTATTTCGGTGTTCATTATATTCGTCTAGACATAATCGAATAATTTTCATGTGCTACGCCTAATTTAATTCCATTGTTTTATTTATAACTGCTACACAAAAGCGAATACATCAACGCCGCCACAGCAATAATTCTAAACTAAAATAACCGCAAAGACCTCTAATTATTTGAACACACATAAGCGTATTCATTATTTTTAAAGTAAACCTCAATGTCATTCAACTGTAGTAATGTGACGTCGTCCAAAGCGCCACAGCACGCTTTTATCGTATGAAACCTATTCGTGAGGTTCACATTGTGCAAAAAGCAAGACAGTATACAACAAATAAAAATAAAACAAAGTATTTTGAAAAGTTTAAACCGATTTTTGTTGATAAACCCCTTTCCGCTTGATTTATGCCTGCTCGCTGACCATTTTAATCGAGATTACGCATTGCAATTTAAACATTTTGACAAATTCATATGTAAGTATCTTACAAAACAAAAATAAAATATTTTTAGGTCCACAATTTACAGCTCTTTCGATACTCTTAAGTTAAAGTTGATTTAAGTTTAGTTAGGCTATTAATGCATTTTTTGAGCCCACTTTTATATCTTAAAACTTGTTTATGAAAGCAGGGGTTCCTAATTCCATGTCCTTCATATTGAAAGCCTTGCAAAGGGTTATGATTTTAGTCAGAAGGCGATATGCCGACTGCAAAGATATGTACATATGTTTTTAAACTTCAGCGTGGCGAAGTTAGCTTTAGTTTTAATTTTTATTTGGTTCTAAAAATAATATACTACTTCGCATCTGATATACATATGATCGGCAGCTGTCTCTGGAACACATCAATTAATGAATAATTCCCGAAATCTCTATAGAACATTATTATTTGTGAGCGCCGCCTTAGGAGTACATGAGTGCTGCACCTATGTTTAATGAATCCATAAATCAATCTTAATGGAACCCTCATGATCGCATTGATATCGTTTGCTCAGGTGACACCAGCAGGGGATGCGTAGTACGATTTATGTACGTGTTCTGCCTTTTAGCCGTCTGGTGGTCAATGGGAGAGAACAAAACGCTTCCTTGTTAGCTATTTGGCGTTAAATTCCAGTCCGAAACCCACTGTGCCAGGTGGTGAGTACCGCTCTGCCTCTAACCCGTCCACCCCGCCTAACGGCTGGCCAGTATCAATAAACAGAGACGGACGCCCGGACGACTGCTACCAAGTCACGCAGTCGAAATGGGCACGGCCAAACAAAAAGAGACGGGCCACTAAGTAAGTGGCATAAATAAAAGCCAAAACCAGAACGAGAATCGAGCATCCAGAAGAGAGAAGAAAGCCGCAGCAGCAGAGGAGTCACATGCAGAAAAAAAGAGTCTTCAGTAAGTTAAATGGTAAATGTTACATATACTTCCGAGAATAATAAATTAAATATTAAATTAAATAAAAAAATACATGAAAACATATTGCCAAAGGCAAGGGATATTTTTTTTTACAAATTTATCAACATTTTTAAATATCAAAATATATTGTAATTTATTTTAACTGAAAATAAGTTTAAAAATCTAGACATTTTAAACTCCAAATGGTTTTTCTATAACTTAATTCAATTAAATTTAATTTAAATATTATATTTTTTTTATATTTCTCTTAGTGTATGGGAAATGGCAGCGCCAGAATATGAAAGTTGCGCCTGCGCCGACGTCGACGCTGACATCGAAGCTCTCCCGTCCGATTAGGAATCAGTTGCGAGGCAGAAGCGCGCGAGTCCAGAACGTTAACCGGAGCAACCTAGCATCATCAGCGCAAAGAGATGGCCTGGAAGACTTTCCTGCTACTGCTGCTAGCAGCAGAGACGCTGGTCTCTGGCACCCCCTTGGTCTCCACCACGGAGCCCCTGCCTTCCCCGGCACCGGCTGCCGGTGTTGAACAGAGCCCCAACATCAAGGAGGAACATTTTCCGGCCACGGCTCCGCCCCATGCAATCGAGTCCAGCGGCACCAGTGGCCAACCCATTGCACTGCAGCCTCCGCCCATACCAGCGGCCGCCGGATTAGAGGACACAGACTCGTTACGTCGTCGGACCATCACCTACGATCAGAGACAGGAGGGACAGTACAATATACGCGCCGATCTGGAGAATTTCATGATCCTGCTGATTCCACCCGGTCCGCAGGAGGGCATCAGCCTGCTGGAACTTTTAGGCAGAGGATCATCCAAATCGAGCGGAGCCAGCTTACGCAAGCCTTCCCTTAGAAGCAATTCCTTGAAGTCCATCTACCAGAAGAGGCAGAAACTACAGCAGCAAAAGCATCAGGATTCCTTGCCAGCTGCGGCTCTGCCAGAATACATCGAAGGTCGATCCCCCTACCACGTGGACATCTCAGCTAGTGATCCCGAGCAGGCGCAGCGTCTGCAGCGCCAACAGGTGGACGTACTCCCACCACAACTGATTCCCATGCCGCAGCTGATCAAACCCTTTCACCTCGAGGCGGAGCCGGAGTTGATCCAGGCCCTTCCTCCAGTGTCCGCCGGCAGTAGCAGTAGCAGCAGCAGTGTGGGATCGAATTTCTTCGAGGGTTACAATAACCCCGCATCCCAGTATTTCCGCAGCTCTCGCTCCCTGCGCGGTGACAGCTACCTTAATACCAATCGCCTGTCTGGCGGTGACTACGGCAGTAGTCCGCGCTCCATTAGTGCTCCGATATACCGCGGCGAATTTGGTGGTGCTGGTAATGGAATGTATCCCCCCATCGATGCCCCATCTTACTTCGTGGATCAAGCTCGCAGCTCCTGGCAACTGGACGAGGAGCCCACAAAGGTGCAAGCTGTCGAGCCGGAGATAGTCAGCTTCGATCTACTGTCCGACGACGATGACTTGACCGATTCCCGGACCCTGCTCCGTGACGGCTTGGCCCGCTGCGCCCGTGGAGAGCGTCGGGATAGCTACGGGGCTTGTCGCCAGATCGAGGGCTACTAAGGGAGGAGCGAGAACTGCCAGACTGCCAGCCTAAATGTTAGTTTCATTTTATTTTGCACACACACACACTCTAGAGTTAAGCTGAAGAAATTGTCTTACCAATAAATAAAAAGAAAAATTAACCGTCATCCTTCTTCGATATTTATTGTAATAATTAAATCATTATATATGAACTTGAGCCAAACTGTAAATCAACGCTTAGACGTTCGCCTTAGGCCAATGGCGGAAGTGGGCGCTCTGATGATAATGATGAGCTGAAGGATGAGGCCAGCATCTTGACAGCCGGGGGCCACTAGTGGCAAGTGCTTTCCACATATTAAAGGCCAACTGCTCCATCATAATTTGTGTGGAGATTTTCTATGCGAAACCAGTTTACAGAGAATGATGATGATGCTCCCGGCCAGCCTCTTCCTGTGGCCAGTCATTGAACCTGCGCCCAGAACTGCAGCTAGGCGGGATAAGTGGAAAAGTCAATACAGCCACGGAATCGGACAGACATATTGCAAATTAGTATAGTTGTGATGATTTTCGATTTCTTCTAAGCTTAACTCGGAATCGAGGTTATTAGGTTAACATTTACGAGCTCATTTCAAGTCCAAAATAACGCGAGGAATAATTAATACTAATGCTTAAATGTATACGAAGTACATCAAGTACCTAGAAAATATATTTAAATCAAATATTAAATACATTTAGCTAACATAGTTTTTTTTTTTTAAATAGGAGTCAGATTAGTTTACTATATATTTTATTTAAATTCCAATCAAGTGCTGCTTACCAATACCATTCGTCTGATTTTTATAGCCGGAGATAAAAAGAGATCTTATGTCTTCTATCTCGCATCTCGTATACCTTGTGTGGTTGCTAGGAAGCATTAGAAATGCACAGTACAGAAGATTCCCACAGTACCCTGGCAATGCGGAAGTCTTCGGTCTGATCGGCGGCCATTCAACTGAGTCCAGCAATCGGGTTTTCGTGGTCTTCTAGTCCAGGTGGGCTTAACTTACCTTCACCGCCACCAAGAAACTCGACTCATTCGCAGCACACCGTTGGAGCATATCGGTCCTGTGTCGCCTTCCGCTGCTAGGAAAATGTGCAAGTTCACCAATCGGCTGTTCGTCTTCGCCCTGTTGCTACTGGCGGTGGGTGGGATTCGGACCCAACCCGCTGGTGGAAGGAGGAACGTGGTCAGCGACCTTCTGGAGGTTTTGTATGAAGACTACAACGACAACGGTTTTCAGCGCGAGGACGTGTTCTATGACCAGCGGCAAAAGGGTGCGGAAAATCTGAAGTTGAGCGTGGATGGCGTTGTCATCGGCATGTCTCCTCAAATTGGTTCCGACTGGCTTTATTCAATGGCCAAATACTACCTAAGTGCGTATTGAAAATGGTTTCACAAATATTCCCATTAATGCGTATAAATACATATTCCCTAGGTGAAACGATGCTGCGTCTAACTACACCCGAGCCAGATACCAATCAGCTTTATGAAAAGGAGCCCATTACAGAGAAGTTGGAGTCAGGCGATGATGAGAATTCCACAAGACTCCATGAAAACTCAAATAGTGATCCAGAAAGTAGACAGCAACATATTGTATCGTCGAACAAATCCACTCGGTGAGTAAATACATTTGGAACTTTTAATCAGGAAATAACCATACTGATAATATCTTACGTTTTCGCAGTACTCCATCATTGCAACTGTTGAATTTGCTAAAGATGTTTAAAAGTTCAAAAGCCTAACTTGCATAAAACGTACTTTGAATTCTTAGCAGATCTTTAGTTGTAAGTTATATTGTAATCATTTTTGGAATAAAATGAGTATATAAATTTACAGTCTCGATATAAGTGATCAAGTATTGGATGCTTGATTTAGGCTGCCGTAAAAAGTAGGCAATGGTATTTATTTCCGGGGCGTTAGTATTAGTGCAGTATTCCAGGTATGTAGGTAGGCGGTTAGTCTCAACATGCATTTAAAGGGCTTTCTTTACGAAGTTTTTTTACTAAAAATAAATACATTAACTAATTGTGGTATTTTTTCTACAACACAAACATGCTAAAAACCATTATTTTGTTAATAATCTTAGTACATTTGAGTAATTTTAGAAAATTGTTAATTTATGCAACTACTAAGTGGGGGTGCCACTGACAACGGATGTTGGTTTTTTCTTACCTTATCGCCATGAGCCTCTTTCTTTCTTTTTCGCGAAACTCGCGGCGTTCTGCAGGTGCGACGCCCTGAGGATTGCGGATGACACACGCAGTGTTGCAGTGAGCCAGCGGATTATATGTCGGGGCAGCAGGCTCGTCGTCCCAGTTTTCAGCGGACTCCACCACAAATTTTTTAGGTTCCGACTCAGCAAACGAGTCCATTTGTTCGGACTTTATACTTTTAAGACGGTCTGGACAATTCTCGAGGTGCGTCTTAAATCAAAGAAATCACGTAAGAGTCGAAAAACAGTACATTCTTATTGTACCCACCTTCATGTCATCCGCCGAGTACAAATGGGTATTGTTAAAGGCGCACCGGACTAACTTCGAAGACGGATAATTGCGGGCACAGCGTATCAAGTGCGCGGCCAGGCGGCTGGGTAACAGGATGTGAGACTTGTTGTATGGACACATCACGTAGTTTTGGAAATGCGGTACGTCTTTCGACATTTTATTTATATATTAATTTAATTTTTCTTAGTAAAAAGAATGACTAGAATTGACAGTTTGCTCGGCCAGTAGAGCTGGAAAGAAAGGAAATTTAACATCGATACTATTATTTCGATTTTTTCGACAAAACATCGATAAACAATAATGCAATCGAAATACAGCCCACGTGGTAAGATAGGAAAACAGTATTTGAAATTTGAAATCCATCTATCTATGGAAGACTTTAAAAAACTTCACAAAAATTTGGCTGTTTTCTGTACCACTAATTGTCTACATTTATAAAATTTATAGCCTTTATATTTTGTATTCTTCTTATAATCTTCAATATTTGTTAATTCGAGGTCGCTAAATGGTTTCAGGATTTCCGGGGTTTTCAGCTGCCGATAGTTTTAGTCAGTAAATTTTTTTATGAGCAGAATTAAGTTTCTATCTCAATCAAAAACGTAAAAGATAAATTAATTGTTGTTTAAATTTCATTTCATTTCATTTTTATAAGGTACCTTAAACATCGATTCAAGCTTCCACGATTTTAACAAATTTTAACAGATTATGAAATGTCCTTTTTATTTTTGATTCCCGATTGGTTCACAAACATATTTAAGTTAATTTTATTGAAATGTATTAATAATAATAAGCTTGTAACGGCAGTTAGAAGTACCGAAAAAAATACCAAAAACTGTGACAACTCGATAGCAAGCGTAAAAGTATAATAAAAATATTTCGCTTATCGATAACCAAAATATTATTATTTCTTTAAAGACCAGCTTTGGCATTACTTTACAATTTTCGAAATATATCAACCACTGCGGCCTGGCAAGTGGTACCGTGATTTGCAAGAATTTTGAGCCACGAATACTCAGGAACATTCCAGTGACTAGTTTGGCCAGTATATAAACCGGCCGCCGCTTCGTTGCACTTGTATAAACAAGCGAACGAGCAACTACGACGCAGTAGTCGGGAGTCCAAAATTTAGTTTCGACAAACAACAAATTCGTTGCAAGAAATCAAACAAAGAACTTAAACGAGAATTATTTAACGAAGGAAATATTGTGAAAATGCCGGAGAAGTTGCTAAAAATCACCTACCAGGGCGCAGGGCCCCAGAAGAAGCTGAATGCATACTTGCGTATGCCATCGCAGAATTACACCATTCTGCGTCGCGAAATCGACCTGTATCTGTTTCAGGAACGGCAGTTGCCAAAATGCGAGATCAGGACCTTTTGGATTGGTAAGTATTACAAAAATTCCACAAAATATTCTAGAAACATGAGAATAATGCTGTGCTATTCTACATCTACATATTCTATTCTACAAACATACATATGTACATAAATTACATATGGCAGTTCGATTTTGTAACTGCATTTCGACATTGCACCCAGCAGTGCAGCTAGTCTAGCTTTGAAATCTAGGATTTTTTTGTATCTATTAGTAGCTAAAACAGGTGATTCCTTTGTTGTAGCTTGTACAGATTTTTCTGAAACACATTCAAGTTGTATATTCTAATAAATGTATTTATTTCGACAATACTTTTTAAAATAAGATTTGCATGTTGGCCTTTAGATCTTTCGTCACAGTCACGGGCCGTTATTACATTCGTGCGTAATAAAAGTGGTTGAATATCCGTCGATCTAAATTTTGAAAAAAAAAAAAAAAAAAAAAAAAAAAAAAAAAAAAAAAAAACTGAAATCTTGACATGAAAAAGCCACATAAGCATATTTAAAACTAGTATTAATTTAATATTTTTGCAATGCCGGTTCGACCAGAAGTCTTGCTATTTTTCGCAGCTAGTTCTCTTTGTGATTCACCTGAAAATCACACTACGATAACAATAATAATGACTCACTCCTTATTTTTTGTTCGATTTTCCTTTCCCTTTTTTAGATTCTGATAATGATGAAATTGAGATTGTCAACCAGAATGACTATGAAATTTTCCTGGCTAAATGCGAGCACAACATGCATGTCCAGATCGCTCCCTTGGTGCCCGTCCAGGAGGAGCAGCAGCAAGCGAAGCAGGCTTCCAAACAAGAGGCTTCTGCTCCGTCGGCCGAGGATCCAAGCAACTTTATCATCCATGACCACGTCGAGTGCGACGGCTGTGGTTTGGCCCCGATAGTGGGCTTCCGCTACAAGTGCGTCCAGTGCAGTAACTTTGATCTTTGCCAGAAGTGCGAGGCAGCTCATAAGCATCCCGAGCACTTGATGGTCCGCATGCCTACCAATGATGGACCTAGTGTAGTGGAGGCCTGGCTGACTGGACCGAATCCTTGGGGGGACGTCGCTGTGGACGACGATCCAGGGGTCACTGCCCGTTTGGTGCAACTCAGGCGGCTGGCGGTGACTCTGCTCCGGCTGCAGATTCTCCCCGTGAAAGCCGACGCGAGCGCCGTCATGCCCGTCGTCACGGGGGCGTCTTGTCCCAGTTTGTTGAGATGATGACCAACTTGCCGCTTAACGAACCTACGGCCACACCATCGGCTGAGCCGCAGCAGCCCAAGGCAGCAGATGCTCCAAAAGCGGAGCCGACTGTGACCGCACAAAAAGCAGCAGAGACCGAAGCCCAGACTAATGAAAAAAAGAAAACTTCTGAGGCACCAACCGAGCAGCCTTCGACCACTCCAACCCAGGGAAGCACTCCCACTACTCCAGTGATCAACTTGGAAAACCTGTCCCAGATGGTGCCACCCGAATACATGCGTGCTGGCATTGAGATCCTGAACAATTTCAGCGAAATGTTCGCCAAAATGATCGATCCTACTGAGTCGTCCGCTCCTTCTATGGCGTCTAGTACTGAGGCAAAACCAGCAGAGAAGGATCAATCAGGCAGCCAGTCGACAGCATCTTCTGCCAACCAATCCAAAGCTCCTTCTGTAAACCCATCAGGGGCTCCCTCTGTTGCTGAATCCTTCTCAGAGGCAGCTTCCCTTGAAACCGAGCCATTGCTTTCCAAGACAACAGATGGAACTGCAGTGGCAGGAACTTCGCTGGCCAGCGAACCAGAGCCAGAGAGTCGTCGTTCGGAGAGCTTGGACCAGGACTGGCAGGTCATCGATAACGCGTACTCTGCTAACAATACCAATAGCGCCAACACTGATGCCCTGATCAATCTGGAACAGCCGATCAATCCCCCAACTGCTGCTCCGCAGCAGCCGATACGCGACTTTGGCCAACTGGGCGAACTATTGCGCCAGCACATGAATGAGGAGGCTCGCATTGCACAGACAACAGCCAACACTCAGACCGCTCAGGTGGATACGGTTAGTACTTCCACCTCGACTACATCTGTGTCCACCAACAGTGTCGGCACCTCTCCAGCAGCTCCTGAAGAGAAGCGTAGCATGCCTGTCTATCACACAGGTAAGTCAACTGGAGATTCGGCAAAGGCAGCTTTTTTAATAACCTCCATTTAATTTCAGATGAACGCATAAACTCTGCCATCCATGCCATGATGGCCATGGGTTTCAGCAACGAGGGCGCCTGGCTCACCCAGCTGCTTGAGTCGGTCCAGGGCAATATACCAGCCGCTCTGGACATCATGCACGTCTCGCAGAACCGCAATTAAAGATGAGATTTCAATAAACATATATATATCAAATATGTATCTTTAATATTCCTAAGGTCACCCTATGAAATACGGGAGTTTATTTTATGTAGTTGTAGTTTATATTCCGTGGTGATTGTATAATCCCGTATGTATGTATTTTACGTTGTTAATAATCAAAGGAAAACCATATGTATGCAATATATAATCGATGTGAAAAACCAATAAAGGCACAAAGTCAAAAGTTGAATTCTTTTATATTATATTAATAATTATGTATTATACTGATTTGCTATAACAATAAATTCTCTAAAAAAATAACCCCCCACACTAGCTTTAAGTAAATCATGATTGACATTGATGCCACCTAAGACCTTTACGGACTAGATAACGAAACTGTGCAAATATTTTTGCACAGCTATCCAGAGCTTTGAGCTTATCAGAGGTGCCACAGAAACAGCAATTGATTTAAATTTAATTTTAAATGTTTCTATGTTTATGCAATACAAAATGATCTATACTATTACTTAGCATATCAGTTGATACGGAATCCACAGTGATTCTGTGACACCCTGTATGGTTTCATTCAGTATTCGATACACCTACAATACTTGTTTTTGGAACTCTCGTTTTGATGAGGTATCGATGCTTCCCCAGAGCAACAACCATAGTATTTCTATAAGCTCAAAGATCAACTCTGGCTTCTGCTGTTGTCTCAGGACCATAAATGTATTGCCCCGCAAGTTCAATAATATCCCGGGCAAACGTACGAAATTCGTAATTCACAGTTGTTACGGTAGCGATAAATGTAAAGAACTTGAACAGCTTCTGGTGGTGTGGCTTCCACTGTCTCCGACCGAAGCCGGTATTGTACCCGAACATTTGCGACACCATTAGGGCGATAAATCCAGCCAATCCGAAGAATCGATGAAGTAGTTTCAAGGCCAAGGCACTACCACCACCACCGCCGTTGATGAAATACAGCGGAAGACCACTAAGAACGCTGCCCAGCAAAAGACCACAGCCGAGAATGCCTAATCGGGGAAGATATGGGAATAAATTAACATTGTTTTTTGTGTTTCGTGTTTTGATCGAACCCACCATAGAAGCCGTGATTGCTGCGAAAATGTCTAACTGTGGCATTCGGATCTTCTCGTTTGCGCTCGAGTTTCTGGAACGTCTTAATGGCTATGCCTCCAACACCGACCACAAAGGACAACAGGCCCAGTGCAGCATGTAGACGGTTAAGGTTCAGTGGTCCCAGCCAGGATTCCAAAAAATTGCTGTTTCTCACCAGCAATGCTTCGCCCATTAAGAAGACAAACTGTAAGAAATTTTATTTTAAAGGATAAGAAAGGATAATTTTTAAAACAAAATTTTAGACATATTTTCAATTGATATCGTATAATAGTATGTAGTAGAGTTTCCATCGTCCCCTTTTATATATATTTTTTTTTAAATTGAATGAGTACTCATGGTCTGAAGGTCCCGAGTTCGAGTGTTTTAAAAATGTGAGTATATCAGTGTGCCTTTTCTAAGCTCAAAAAATAGTCCGTTTGACCTCAAATTTCAGTAATCTTTATATTTTTATAGATAACTATTCGGTCTTGAAAACAAAAACACTTTGTCTTAAATCAAGAAAACATAATCTTCATGAAACGATTTTAAAATAAGAACTATGTCTTTTTAAATATTTTCGATCTTGGCAAACTTTTTAGTACTGAACTTGAGATAGTTCAGAACAGTTTTCTTTCTGTGTATTACGTATGGTGAAATAGTATCTATTTTTTTGTGGAAGTATGTTTAGATATATATGTAGATATATAATAAATGTATATAAGAAAACTTACGGCGATTGTGCAGTAGAAGGCATGACCCGCCGTGTGCTCCAGCTTCATCACTAGACACTTGTACACAACGGCCACGGTGATGCCCGCCAGTAGAAAGTGTGAGATCAACGAGCAGAAGCCAAAGTAGAATCCTCCATAGACACTGGAAGAGACGGTGGCAGCTCCCTGAATTCCCAAATCACAGACATCGCCCAGACATCCATGTACTTCCTCAGTCGTCATATTGTTACGTTAGGAAAATCTCCTCCTTATCTGCTACGTGAGATGTGCACGTCGAAGTGATAAAGCTCGTTGGTGCTATAAACCGATCGCGACAACGCTCCGTTCGATGTGAGTGTTAGAACGCGTTTGACGCTCTGACGGCACCGAACAGCTGGAAAAAAACTGCCATCGATCGCTCGCGTTTCTCTCTCCTGGTGGTGATGGTGAATTCCGGGCCGAGGCTGAAAACGTTCGTGGCTACTGGAGCGGTTCGTTTGCACGGATGACTCAGCGGATAGCCCCGTTCACGTGTCTTACCTTGGAGCGGGAAAGGCGGCAGCGGTAGCAGCAGCCACAGGTGGTGGTGGCACTGATCGGCATTGCTCTCCGCCAGCCGCCAGCCGCCAGCTGACTGGGATTGTGCGAATATATTGTTATTTTTGGAGCATTCTAAAACCAGTTTGTGAATTAGCCAATCCCAATTAATACACTTTGTCAAGGGTATTTATCCAAATTATCGAGGGGTGTTAAGAACATATTTTTTTATTATTGTATTTGAGCTGATTACTAATAACTAAAATTAAAATAACAAAAATGATTGTTATTACCTAGAACAGTGTCAGAACTAAGCTCTTATCAGATATGGTTAATAATGCTGCATACTTTTAGGTTGTTCTTCCCTTTGTTTAGAATTTATGCTTGATTTTCTAAGAAATTTGTATAAGAATCAATAACTATGAAAGATTGGTGAATCGATTGAAAGTATACTTCCCTTAAGGAATTTTTTAAGATGATTAAACAAGATTCAGCATCTCATCTTTTCTATAGCAGATACGAATATTGTTTATCAGAGTTCTAAAATAACAAAAATTTTAAGAAAATAAACCATCTATGTATGTACAACAAAATCGAAAGTATTTTTGTATTCTATTTTGAAATTTACAATTTAAATTTTTTGAGTTCCGCCAACTTCAATTTATTTATATATTCACTTGAAAACCCTCAATAATTGTGCTTATTTTGTATGCCATTACATGTACTATTTCTATTGTGAAAATTTGGTTTATAATGTTCAAATAGGCAACCTAAAGACCCTGTTATCTCTGAGTATTCCATTATGCAAATTAATCACTCAACCATATGGAAGATAGTGCTTCCAAGAATATAAAATATATATTGAAAAATAATATATAAAGTATTAATTCTTGGAATCGCGTCTGAAAAGTAGATCAGTAAAGTCCGATGGAATGTGGAAAAACACACTATTTCTGTCAGGAATTTTTTGTTTAATTAAGTTTAATGATAAGTTTTTTAAAATAAATAAACCGCACTACTTATAGTTTTGTTATGCCTGACAACCCTACTATATATGTACATGCCTTTTCGATTAGCGCAAAAATCACTTAAAAAGAGAGACTAGATGGGGAATCACCCGCCAATAATCTGGTTTCCCCCATCTCATATACATTATAGTGTTCGTTCCTTAGTCATACATTATATACTTAAGCAAGTATATGTATAAATATATGTACAAACACGCCTCTTTTGCACAGCCATGTGAAATACAGGCATGATGACGTCATCTCTGACTATACAGCGGGAGAGCCACAATAATAAAGGCATTCCAAGTTTAGAGAGTCAAAACAACACCAGCTGACGCACCTACACAGAGCGTTGAAAAAGCCGGAGAGAGTTTATATATAACTGTTCCATTCAGTTGGCCAAAGCATTTTCAGTTGGACGCGCCTGCATTATTGGGCTTAATCAACAAGTTCAAGACCTCTGCTTGCTGGCAAACGAAATAAATAAACAACACCCCATTATTTACCAATTGGTATTGGGATTTTTGGGACTCTAAAATCATTTTTCGGATTTTCCAAATCATGTACGTAAGCTGGGAGCGACCAAAATAAATCAAGATCTTCATTTTCTGTGCAAAACACGAAGCGACAGTTATAAGCAATAATAAAAGTGTTAATTATTGAAAAAAAAAACCCACAGAACATACATATACAAAAGCAGATATAGATATTTTCAACTTCCCGTATAATTTGTCTATTGCCTGACTAAAGTTCTGTGAAAAACTTTATATACTATACGTCGCTCATGAAATTCATTCATGGTAAATCAGATAGACAAAACGTATGTCCCTTTTGTTTTACTTAATATTTCGATAAACACGGAAATTTTGCACCGTGATATCATACTTTATATCGTTTCTCAAAATGGTGAAATGATGAATGATTGAAAGAATATAAATAGTGTAGGTTTGAAATTGTTTTGAATTGCGTTTTAATACTTATTCGAATTTTATGATATAGCAGTCTTACTAAAAGATTTTTCTGAAATCTGTTTTTCAAGCTCTAAATATATATTCATACTTTGCTTGGACCGTCAATCTATTCGAAATTGTATATCAATATGACTAACCATTAGAACGGAAAGTAAAATATATTAAATTCCCAGATGTTTAGTTGTAAAATATAATAGAAATCTATGTGTAATCAATTGAAAAGGCGTCAAAAAGTATGGAATCAAATATTTTAAAAAATTTTATCAAGCGATAAAATTACTGAAGAGATTTATAAATAGTTATAATTTCATTTTGATACCTGAAAATGCAAGAGACTACTACTATAACTACATACATATATTCATTTCGATGAATTTTTTTCGACACAAATTATATTAATTTAATGCCTAAAAATAATATCAAACTGTGCCAAATTCTCACTTGTTAATGATTTTGTCTAGGAGAGCTTGCCGAACTCCATCCAAGTACAAGTTTGTATAGCGTTTGCCGGCATTTTTTGTTATTGTTTTGGTTTTCTGGGATCGACTCGTCATCGATTAGTGTATGTACTCACTCACGCGAGTATATATGTATGCTCACACACACATACACATATTTACTGTGTATATTATTTGCTTATAATTTTTTATCAGTATTTATTTTTGATGACCGCGGACTGAGCTGAGCAGCTCTGCCGGCGCCGCCGTCGGCCGGCTTACACAAATCCATTGCTATAACAAAATCCGTGAGGCATTCGACTGAACCAGTCTCAGCTCGGCTCTGAGCCCCATCGGTCGCACCGCGCTTGCACATTTTCCGCATCGATCGCTCAGCTCAGGTGTACTAATTTGATTTTTATTTGTATTTACTCTTCCTGTTCCCGTTCGACGACCAACAACCACACCACGCACGCAAAATGCGTCGCGCAGACGCTCTTACTGTTGCCGTTTGGGCCACTCTTTCGCTGCTGCTAACCATGGACACGGTGAAGGCGGAGGGGTAAGTGAATTTAATATATATATGTACATATATATAAATATTTACCTATATAATGCGATAAGTGATCACTGGAGATACCAACAGCTGCGGTCAGAATATTAGCAGAGCTCTCAAGGATAACTAAATACCAAATATTTGTATATTTTAAATCGGTTTAAGCTACAGTTCGTTGATCTCTATAATTTCCAACTGCAAGTTCGGTAAACAGCAAACATTCAGTGGTAATCATAGACACACTAATTTAATGCTATTTCGTATAAAATTTCTAAAACACACAAGTCGTTAAATAATGATACCAAGAATAAGAAAAAATAATGATGGAAATATATTTTTAAATAAATATATAAGCAGATTTTTAAACGTGGTATATAATACTACAAATTTTTAATTGATAAACAGTCTTTGGTAGTTACATAGTCTTTTCTTAATAAGAATTTATCAAGATTTCCATTTCAATAGAAGCTCCTTTTAAAAATGAATGAATTTTTATCCGCATAAAATATTGATAAAATATTGAAAATTTTGAAAAGTTTTGAGGTTTAGTGTATGAAAATATATATATTTTTTTTTCAATCCAAACTAATTTTATAAAATAAACCCACAATTAATGTACAATATATTGCACAATATGAATCTAGTATTAAAACAATAATAATCCTAATATTGTGATAGACGCTGTTTGAATGTTAGTAAATAGTTACTAATTAATTCAATATGCATATGAGCAGATAGGGCCGATTAACGATCAGTTTCAAGGTAAACTATCATAATCGAGTTGTTTTTCGTTTTAATGGGCAGTACTGAAATTTATTAATTTTATTTGTAATCTTGATCACCCTTAGAGGTAAATAGGCCAGTTTTCAAATTAATTCAACTAGTTTTTATTTGAGAAGCGATAAGGAAATACGGTTTTAAACGACAACATTTAGTTATTGTTACTTGGTACTGGAATTCATGATTTTTTCTGCTGTCAAAACTCAAAATACAACAGCAAATAAATTCATATTTTTTATGTACTTATCTGAACTTCGTTTTGCCAATTTGTTCAATACCTGCATCGCTTGAGATGCTAATTGAATTTCAATGTAAGCTATTTTTTGCACAGTTTTTTTTATAGATTTTATAGTTAGACAAATGCACACGTCAATACGTACATATATTGTTTTAGACTCGATTCTGTTGTGGTTAATTAATGCTTCATTAATCTGCAACACGATCAAATATCTTCATAAAAAGCGTGTAGCTAATTACTAGTATAAAAAGGTGAATATATAACTTGATTACTGAACACAATTATGACTTTTAAGAGTAAGAATAATTCAATCGAAATTAGGATGAAACCAAGCTCGAAGCTAACAAAAGAGTTGTTTTTCATCGTAAACAAATAGTGATGATCAAGTACACAGAATATATATTTGGTGTACGTGCTCGAGGACTGTAAGTGCTAAAAAAAATATGGCTATTCGGATTTTATATAATCTCTAATCCGGTTTTGACATTTTCGAGGCAGATCAGATCAGGTTCCCGGAATATTTTTACCGTTATCTCCAGGGCTATAATAAATTCATGTATAAATACATAAAAAAATGAATGTCACAAAAAAATAAACAAACAAAACGAAGAACATAAAAACTTTACCAGAATTTCTTAATGCTCTTGAAAAAATTTGATAATGAAAAGTTCATAGGCGAAGTAATAAAGTTTTGCTTCGAAATCGTAAGCTCAAAATAAGAGCTCCCAAATAAGGCTTAGTAACAAGTAGTACATTCAAAACATAAATTAATTTAAATAAATTTAATTGCAGTAAATATACCATTGTGGGCCCCGGAACCATCCATTCGCATCGTGACTACAACGTGGCAGTGGCTGTTCATCAGACCAAGGAACCGGTCACCCTGAAGGTGGGCATCACAGGACCCTCCTACAACGAATCGCAGACTGTGGAACTGGCCAAATCCGATGAGTTCAAGCAGATTACCTTTAAGCTGCCGCCTCTGGAGTCCGGCGAATACAATCTCACGGCCGAGGGTGTGAAGGGACTGGAGTTCAAGAACTCCACCAAGCTCAACTGGGAGAATTTCAAGCCGTACATTAAAATCCAGACGGACAAGGGAAAGTACAAGCCCGGCGACACGATCAATTACCGTGTGATCTTCCTAAATGAGAACTTGCTTCCGGATATCGCCGCCGAGGAGGTGGTCGTGTGGTTCGAGGACTCTAAGCGCAACCGCATCAAGCAGGAGAAGCACATCAAGACCACGGGTGGCGTGTACACCGGCAAGTTTGAGCTCTCCGAGTTCGCCACTCTCGGCTCCTGGTCTCTGCAGGTCCAGAATGGCGAACAGGAGTCGAATGAAGGCGGTATCTATCGTCCCAGGCCCTTCGGAGGTTTTGGTCACTTCTGGCGTCGCTCCGATGAACGTGTTAATTTCGAGGTGGAGAAGTACGTCCTGCCCAAGTACTCGGTCAAAATGGATGCCACACAGCAGGTGTCTGTGCGCGATGGAGAAATGAACGTGGTCATAAAGGCAAAGTGAGTATGTTGAAAGAAAAGAACTTGAATATCTTTTGTTCTAAGACTGATCCTTAGTTTAGTGTTCAATGCCCCTAGATTTAAATTTCTAATTGCTTACAAAATAATCTCATTTTATAGTTATACCTACGGAAAGCCTGTTAATGGCAAGGTCCTGGTCAATGTGCACTTGGATGAGACCAGCGTTTGGGAGAATGTCGATGGAAAGACCGTGCGCCAGGATTTCCCTGGTCACTCGGTAATTGGCACCGCCGCCATGGTCAATGGCAAGGCCAAATTGGAACTGGACCTCAAGGAGTTCGCAGCCTTCCTGCCGCACAAGACATCATCCTCTTATGCCCAGATCACGGCCACTGTTGAGGAGGACTTTACCGGTGTTAAGCTCAACGAGACGGGCGGAGTTCAACTGTATCCCTATCGCTATGAGATGTCCTGCACGGATTATTCCACCTGCTTTTCATTCAAGCCCGACAAGGAGCACGAGATTATCTTCAAGATAACCCTTGTGGATGGTACACTGCTAACAGATACCAAGACACCTGTGAAGGCCAAGTTCACCGAGGGAATCCGACGTAACTACGGCTTCTATCAATACGGAAACGATGAGAAGCAGCCGGAATTGCCCAAGATTGAGAAGAAGACAATTGAGTTCGAGAGTCATCTGAATGAATCCAGTCTGGCTGTCTTCAAGGTGACGCTGCCTGATCTCCCGGACATGGAGAATTACACTCGCTACTATAGCATTGAGCTGGAGTTTGCCGATGAGAAGCGAGAGCTCTACACCACGTATCCCTACAGGGAGCCGAAGAAGATTGAGAACCCCGACCCAAGCGAGGAGGAGAAGGAGTGGTTTAAAGCTGAAGTCCATCGTCCCAAGGAAACGTGGAGGTAAGGATTCTGGATCTTACTACTAAGTTCAATGAGCTTACTCCTCTTTTTTACAGCCTGAAAATCGGGGAGGAATACCAGGTCACTCTGAACTCCAGTCGCCCGCTCCATTACTTTGTGTACAACATAATCGGACGTGGAGATATCCTGGAGACAAAGCGTGTCGAGCTGGCCGAGCCCCAGAAGACCTACAACATCACCTTGAAGCCTACCTTCCTTACTGCCCCCCACGGCCGGGTGTACTTCTATTACGTGGATGAGACTGGCGAATTCCGCTATGCCGAGGAGTCATTCAGCGTTGAGGTTGAGCTGCAGAACAAGATTGAAATCAAGGCCCCCGAGGAGGTGAAGCCAGGTGCCGATGTTGAGCTGGAGATTAAGACGCCACCAAAGTCCTTCGTAGGACTTCTCGCCGTCGACCAGAGTGTCCTATTGCTGGGCAACAATAACGATTTGAACAAGGACTCCTTCAACTGGCGCCTAAACGGCTACGACACCTCCACTCCCTGGCAGGGTGGCTACTCCTACTTCCCCGGAGAGCGCAGTGGCGTGGTTACGATGACTAATGCCTACTTCTTCTACAACCGTACCGCTCCTATTTCCTATCCGCGTAAGTATTAATATTATATTTTACATTTAAGAAAATTGCTATGAATTTAAAATCAATATTTAACTTTTTTTTTCAATTTACAGAAGCTGCAAGCTTTGGTGGTAGCACTTTCGCTATGAGGAAAACAGCGGTGGCCCAGGATGCCGTATTTCATACAACCACATCAGCCCTGGGCGCAGCCGTTCCACAGAGCCTGGGAGCTGCTGCAGAGGCAGGAACCGCAGGAGCTCCAGCAGTTCGCAAAAACTTCGCGGAGACCTGGATCTTTGCCGACATCGAGAGTACTGAGGAGGAGGTCTTCAAGTGGGTGAAGACCATTCCCGACACGATTACCAATTGGGTGATTACCGGCTTCTCCCTGCATCCTGTGAAGGGATTGGGTGTCACGAATGACGCGGTGAATGTGAAGACTTTCCAGCCCTTCTTCGTTTCCGTTCGTCTGCCCTACTCGGTGAAGCGCGGCGAGGTGATCAATGTGCCGGCCCTGGTCTTTAACTATCTGCCTAAGCAATTGGATGTGGAGCTGACGCTGGACAACCAGGACGATGAGTATGACTTTGTGGATGCCTCGAATGAGGTTATTGGCGATCAAAAGCGCACCCAGAACCTTCGAGTGGGTGCCAACGAGGCTGCTGGCGCCTCTTTCCTCATCCGACCCAAGGTCATGGGCAATATTCTGCTCAAGTTCACAGCCATCTCGCCGCTGGCCGGTGATGCTGTGCACAAGGCACTTAAGGTGATCCCAGAGGGAACTACCCAGTACCAGAACCGCGCCTTTTTCATCAATCTCAAGGACACCGGTGAGTTCAAGAATACCTTTGAGCTGGAAGTGCCGGAGGACATCGTGAAAGATTCCGAGCGTGTAGAATTCGGAATGGTCGGCGACCTCCTCGGCCCAGTTGTCAAGAATCTGGAGAACCTGCTGCGACTGCCCAGTGGCTGCGGAGAGCAGACCATGTCCAAATTGGTGCCCAACTATCTGGTCCGGGATTACCTGAATAGCATCAAGAAGCTGACCCCCGCCCTGGATGCGCGCATCAAGAGGAATCTGCAGGAGGGCTACCAGAACATGCTGCACTACCGTCACGATGACGGCAGCTTCAGTTCCTTTGGACCCCACAAGTGGAGCGAGACGGAGCCCGAGCGCAACGGTTCCACCTGGCTGACCGCCTATGTCCTTCGGTCCTTCAGCAGGATCAAGGAAATCGTGGATCTGGATGAGCAGATCTTGGAGAAGGGATACGAGTTCCTCCTGAGCCGTCAGGCGGAGAACGGCAGCTTTACGGAGGCTGGCGAATACTTCTATGGCTCCCAGCGAAACCCTCTGACCCTCACGGCCAACTCCCTGCTGGCTCTGCTGGAGGTGCCGAAACCCAATCAGGAGGCTGTAGAGAAGGCGGTTGCTTATCTGGCCGCCAACACGGCCGAGTCCGTGGAGCTCTTGCCCAAGAGTATTGCCATCTATGCCCTGCAAAGGGCCAAGTCCCCTGACGCAGCCAAGCATGTGGCAAACCTGAAGTCCCTGGCCCAGAAGGAAGATGATCGCACTTGGTGGACTGAAGATCTGGAGAAACTGCGTTCTTCCGATCGCTGCCGTCGCTGGTGGTGCTGGGTGTGGAGTCAAGATGTAGAGATCACATCCTATGCCCTGCTTTCGCTGCTGGAATCGGAGCAGGAGACAGCAGACACCGTTCTAAACACAGTCCGCTGGCTGGTGGCCCAGCGTAACAGCTTTGGTGGCTTCGCTTCCAGCCAGGACACTGTTGTTGGTCTCACGGCCCTGATCAAATTCGCCGAGAAGTCTGGCTACGAGGCAGCCAAGTGGGAACTGACCGTGTCCAACAAGGGCAAGCACGAGAAAACCGAGAAACTAACCACATCGGAGGAGAACGATCTGCTGCTCCAAACCATCGAGTTCCCCCAGGGCACCAAGTCACTGGAGTTTGAGGCCAAGGGCACAGGCGCTGCTCTTGTCCAGATCAGCTACCAGTACAATGTGGTGGAGAAGGAACCGAAGCCCAGTTTCAAGGTTGAGACTGTGGTCAAGCCGGAGACATCGCCAGCCAAGCTGGAGTTGGCCATATGCGTGGACTATGTGGAGGAGGGCAAGTCGAAGACGTCCAACATGGCCATTCTGGAGGTATCTCTGCCCTCTGGTTACACCGCCGACGAGGACAGTTTCAAGGACATCCAGGAGATTGAACGCGTTCGGGTAAGTTCTTCATTGTCTTTGATATTATTTAATCCTAATAACACTTTTCTTATTTTCCCTACAGTTGGTGGAGACCAAGAACGGAGCCTCCGTCGTCGTTGTTTACTTCGAGAATCTGGCCAAGAACGAAAACAAATGCATTCCCATTGAGGCCTTCAGGACACATGCAGTGGCTAACCAGAAACCTTCCTCTGTGATCCTTTACGACTATTACGATACCAACAAGAAGGCCACCGAATATTATTCAATTGACTCAAAGCTGTGCGACATTTGCGAAGATGATGATTGCAAGAGCAAGTGCTGAAACGATTAATAACCAAAACTTTCCCTATGTACGAACTATCTTTACTTATGAACAAGAAATAAAAAAAATATTGTGATTCTAATGTATATACGTAAATGAAGTTTTGTTTCATTATATTGTTAATATAGAATATAACATTAATATGGATAATTTAAAATACGACACCTTAAGTCCTCTGACTGGAAATTCTTCGGTTTAACACTTTTCCAATTAATCCCAATGCAACTCGAGCCAACATTATTCAAGGAAGACTATGATGCGAAGCGAAAACTCTATTTGGGTGATATGGGTTATCTAATATGTAGTTTTAGAGTCTTCATTGTGTAAATTTAAAATTTAATAGCATATTTTAAGGCAACATTTAAATTTATTTAACAGCTAGTATTGTGGGTGGTCATCCCCAATAAAATGATTGTATGAGGAAAATCTTATTAAACAAGAAATGAAGCTAATTTCAAGAAGCCGAAATGTGTATACCATAGCAGTTACCCATACGATCATTTGATTAAATTACTAAATCGATCATAATCATTATATCGATCATGGAATAATAGTTAAGTAACTCTGAACAGTAAGTATCTATGACCAGTAAGTATCTATGACCAATAAGTACGGATGATCAGATACTTAATTTGAACACTAATACACAATGACTTGCAACTTTTGTAACACAACACATTTCTGAGACTTGGCCGGCAGAAGTCACTTCGTTCCGGGGATGTTAGAACAAGTTGGGAATCATATGCACAGGTGTGCGAAATTTGTTTTGGAACAAATTTAAAACAAGCTATTTCAATGAAACTATGAAGTTATTCCTCTATATAATTTTACAAGTATATAAATCGGAGCATGGTGGATCGTTGGACTATATATATACATATATATAGCTGACATAGGAACAATCGGACACGTTAAGGAACTATGACCAGTAATTAACTATAACCAAAAATTAACTATGAGCATTAAGTAACTATGAGCAGTAAGTAACTATGATCACTAAGTATCTATTACCAGTTGGCACCTATTACGACTAAGCAATTATGATCAGTAAGTATCTATAACCAGTAAGTATGTATGATCAGTTACTTTCTTTGAACACTAATAAACAATGACTTCATATTCATATATTCAAATTATTTGGGTAACTCAAAGTTACTCCAAATATCATAGCAAAGCAAAATACGCATTAAATTCAATTCGGAAAGCTTTTCTTTGCTCATTTTTATAGGGCTAACAAATCTGCATACTGAGTTTCAATACTTAAATACTTATCATAACTGTAGCTAGATATTATTAGTCTACCAAAAAATGAATTCAAATGAATTTGCAATGACTAATGACCAATCTGAAACCTCGACCACTGGTTATCTTTCGTTCTCCGAAAATAAAAGTAACCCATATATTAACAACTTGAGTTGGAGCTTAATGAAACTGTCAAGCACTTAAAGTTCAAGAGAACCCGCTAATCATAAATCAATCCATGCAAAAATATGCAAGGCACTTTTAATATAAATACATACATCTAATCGCAACCAATGCCAAATCCAAGATAGAAAAGACGGGTGTCAGCATTTTATATTGGTAAACATTTTTCGACAGAGTTTAATTTAGAAACAGTGTTCGGTGTTCAGCTTATCTTTACCGCAAACATGAAGCTCAATTAAGAATTATTAGAGTGTTGGTGGTTTGCCGAAATCAAGCGATTGCTGTCTGCCCAGACGACAATTGCCAGAGAAAGCGAAATATATAGGGGTTTCGAGTGTGACTATGTCCGGTTACCCCTTATCATAGTACGTGAGATTTTGCATGTTGATAAGACTCGTGGGTGACTTGCGATCGGGTGTGAAATACATGTATATTAAGTGTGTCCCAATACTCCACCCACAAGAGTCTAATTAATATTAATAACACCCTCCCCTCTAAATTTAGCCCAAGTGCTCAGAGACTTGGAATGAAATCGAATGGGCAACGTGATCTCGGGCGCATAAGACAGGAGGCAATGCCTGCCAGCTCCTCAAAAGCCCCAATATGAGTGAGTGTATGAGTGGATCTGATCGTATGGCTTTCGATAATGCGAACGTGAAGTTGCAACCAGCCAACGGCCACTCAATAACATTGAGCAAATCCCATAAGTCGAATGCATTAGATGACTTAAGCACTAATTTTCCTGATAAAACGATAACATACAAATAGTCTGCCAAGCCATCTCTCGGAGGCAATAAAAGCCACAGGTGAAGGTAGTTAGTTGTAATAACTAATGCAAGACGGTTGATCGTTAGGGGAATAACTTGAAACAATTAAAAATCCTTTCACCAGGATACTCTATGTCAAGAAATCCGTTTTATTTTCTTTAAGAGATCTGTACTTTCGCGCATATTTTTCGAAATTAATGACAATGAGTGCTGAAAAATCGACTCCGACCACCGTGTTCCAGCATATCGAGGCGGCTTTGTATGTGATAAACCAACTGTGCATCGGTTTCGTGACGATTTTTGTCAGCTGGACTTGCCTGCGACAGGATCTGGCCGGCATCCGTCTCCATGCCTGGCTGGTGACCTTTGGCTTCGTCTTCCTCATGGCCGAAGGCATGATGTGCTTCTACGATGGCAGCTGGCTTACGCTACGCTTCTCCCGCAAATCCAAGACGGTGTTCCATGTGGTGCTCCAGATATTGGGCGGCGGCATGGGAGTTGCCGGCTGTCTGATCCAGTTGATCCGCGATGATTGGACAATTAGTGTTACTGTTCATGCCCGGCTGGGATTTGCCGCCTTCGTCCTGTGCCTTATATCGCTGCTTAGCGGAGTGATTGCTGCTTTGGCCAGATCCCTGAGCAGCCGTATCCCGCCGCTGATCAATAAGACCTTCCATGTGATCCTTAGTTTTGGTGCCTTTGTGACGGCCATGATGGCCCAATATTATGGATACACGCAAACAGGGATCTTTCGAGGACAGGGACAGGACTTTGTCATCCTCATTCAAGTGGTCACAATGGTAGCCATGGTTCTAACTAGCATAGGTGCTATTAAGTCCCTGTACCAGAAGTTTTCCAGCTTGGCCAGTTAATGACTTAATCGGGATACTAAGAAAAAGAATTTATCGATCAAATTTCATAAATCTACTTAACCGGTGCTATGTTCCTTGTAAATGATTAAAAAATAGCCTAGAAATAATAATAAATGTAAATACATACTATGGATACTAAAATAAGGTGCTATTATAATAAAAATAAATTACTTATTATAGCTTATACCATTATTTATTGAAAATAAATATGCCCAGAAAATATATAATAGAACATAAGTATAAATAAAAGTGCACTAAACTATATCTGATTAATATAAAATATTATTATAAATGTTCTTGAAATCTAGACGAACATTACCAAAGTTAATCAAATACCTTTAGGCACTTTGTACATTATTTTGTGCTAAAGCGATTAGTGATGATTTTTTAATTTAATTACCGTATAATTATTCTTTATTAACAACATATTTTTTTTAATATTTAATTTTGACTTTTGTATTATAGTTATGCGATACAGATGTTTGAGCTATAAGAAACTCGCCGCTCCGAGAAAAACTAATAATTCTTGAAGGGTTATTTGTTTTTCAATTTTAAAAAGTAAAAACAATTAATTAAAAATAAAGAGAAAAAAAAAAACAAGAAAATAAGCTAAACTCATGATTTTAAATTGGATCTTGGGCTCTAGATTGGAAAACCTTTAATTCTATTTCGGTAAGCTTTCCCGTGTTGGATTTTATTAGGTTGACGGCTTAGCATTTAGTGATTATTAAATTTAAGGATACAAATATAAAATTTTTGTATAACAGTTTTGCAATTTAAATGATAATTTTTCTTTTCTAATATGTTTCCAAATTATTGATTAAAATTTTAATATCAAAAAAGACAAATGTCATAATGCATGGCTGTTTGCAGAAGATTGCCTACTTTTTGGCGGTTGCTTGCAAAATAATATGACCGTTACATATACTGAGTTTCAAGCTTCGGATTAAAATGATGCCGCTAAATAGTTTTTGATTAAAATAATAATTATTTGTAATACAATTTTGATCATGTGATTTGGGAACACATAAGTGAATAAAGTAACTTGGAAATTAATTTATAATATTTTTTGTTCCTAATAAAAAATTCTTAAAAAAGTACTATTACCAAAACAACAATCATTACATTCATACTGAAAAACTACAAAAATGAACAAAGAAATTATATTATTTATCATTCTTAAAACAAAACATTCCTTGTATTTTGTAATTAAATAATTATATCGGTGTATTTTATTGGAATAAGTGTTTCATAAAAATTCAAAATCGCCAACTTATCAGCACTGTTGCATCGGAAAAAAGTCGTTATATTTAGTGTTGATAACTGCAAAATAGATTAATCTTTGGCGCGGTATCGCAAATTAATAGGCAAAAATAAAATTCTTGCATTTTTGCAGGCCCCATTTGCGGTTTGTGTTTTTCTATCACTCGCACTTTATTAGCTTCCCCAGAGGAAAACCGATATCAATAGAAATTAAAGAGCCAAGTCATTCTTGTGGTTAGAAGCGAATACTGCATGCCTCGGCAGTCTAGTTTTAGTTTTGTCGGAAGCAGACGATGATTTAAGGCATCGGCGGGCAGACAAAGTTCAATGGGCGTATCGGTCGACACATTTACCATTTAATTGCCATCGTATTTGGAGCTACAATAAACAGTTTCAGCCAATTTGTCTGTGAAAAGGCTGGCGGTATTATCAGTCGCCACCAATTGTACAAATGTTAACACGAAAATAACATTATTCCAAAGCGCTGATAAAGTCTAGTGTTCCGAAAACCGAAACTACAATGTCCGAGAGTGAGCAGCAGCAGGCAGTCGTCAGTAGAACGCAGCGAGCCGTTGACTACGGCAGCACCATCCGGACGGAGTCCCATCGACAACCCTCATTCGTACTGGTTCAATCCCCGCGACGCTACTCAAAAATGTCTCACAGCACCTTGTCGTCCGGCCACGAGGCCCAGGATCGCTTGCAGAGATTGGAGTACTTCCTGAATGTTCTCAACCAGATGTGCATTGGATTTGTCACCATCTACATGTCGTATTTAACCCTGCGAACGGGACTAGCTGGCACCGGCTTGCATGCCTGGCTGGTTACCATTGGGGTAAATACTTAGGGATCTCCTCCGAATCGGGCACTGAAAATCAAGTCCTTGCTCTTCGTAGTTCTCGTTCTTCATGGCCGAGGGTGTGATGATCCATTACGGTGGCAATGTCCTGACTAACGGATACAAACGTCAGACAAAGACCACCATCCATTGGGTACTCCTAACACTGGGCGGAGGCTGTGGAGCAGCTGGTGCCCTTATCAAAATGATACAGAAGGGATTTTTGCTTCAATCGATTCACGGAAAGCTGGGTAAGTAGAGAGACAAAAAGCGACAGATTGTAAGTGAATAATGATTGCGGAATTACACTCGGGAAAAATTTTAAACCGTGTGCTTGCATTAATTATTTAGTCAATAAAAATTAAGTAATTACTGCTAGCACACGAACTAAATTTGATCATTTTATTTGGTATATACAAATAAACAAGATCTCTATAAAAATAATTTTCTAACAATTTTAAACATAATACAAGCATTTTGCAATAGTTTCTTTTTACGATTTTATGTTGTCCCGATGTTTAATTTTAAATGTCGAATCTTTTAGTTTTTATACCCTTGCAGGGTATTATAATTTCAGTCAGAAGTTTGCAACGCAGTGAAGGAGGCACCTCCGACTATATAAAGTATATATATTCTTGATCAAGATCAACAGCCGAGTCGATCTAGCCATGTCCGTCTGTCCGTCTGTCCGTCTGTCCGTCTGTCCGTTTCTACGCAAACTAGTCTCTCAGTTTTGAAGCTATCTGAATGAAACTTTGCAGTTAGTCTTCTATATACTCTCACTCGTATATATGTCGGAACGGGCCGGATCGGACGACTATATCATATAGCTGCCATAGGAATGATCGTAAAATTTTTACAAAAATTTTTTCAACTTTTTCAGTTTTTAATAGAATCGGATCAAATTTAAGATATAGCCATTTAACTATACTCTACAATTTTGTGTAAAATTTTATGAAAATCGGACTAATATATCATATAGCTCCCATAGGAACGATCGAGAAATTAATACAATTAAATTTATAACTTTTTCAGTTTTCAGCTGATTTTCATCAAATTTAAGGTATAGCTATTTTATATTAGTCTTAAATTTTGTGTCAAATTTTATGAAAATCGGACGACTATATCTTATAGGTGCCATACAAACGATCGTTTGATGTAGAGGAAAAATGCAAATCTGTGTATGTAAAACTGCAAATATAATATGTATAGGTGAATGAAATGAAAGCAGCTATTACTTCATTGTTTTTTAACACAAATGTATATAATTTATATTGTATGGATTCCTATTCATAGAAGTTCTATCTGCAAGGGTATAGAAACTTCGGCGTGCCGAAGTTAGCTTTCTTTCTTGTTACATTTAATTTATGAATGCAATAAGTCAAGTGCATTTACCAGATATTTTCTCAGTCAGTTTTTTCATCTGTAGTAGCCCTGTCATTTACACAGTCTGATGTGGATCCCTAACTCGAGGCCTGACAAATGAATAATTAATAGTAATACCTATAAAATCAAGTATACCGGTCATGACATACTCTGCACTAAAATCAACAAGCTGTATAATATTTCTGATACATTTGATTTAAAAATAAACTAGGTCTAAATGTGTTGCTAATGATATGATATATTTTTCTTTGCAACATTCTTTCAAAACTAAAAATATACAAACTTTAAAGAAACCCATAATAATGTTCTAAGCTTTTTAATCAATTCTTTATTAACTTTACAGGAATGACTGCCTTTATACTCTGCATATTGGCCATGTCCTCTGGATTGTCGGCACTGTTTTCGCAGCGTTTGAAAAAACTGATCACTCCATTACTTAACAAGACATTCCACAATTTCCTGGGTTTTGCCTGCTTCGTGATCGCACTGGTGACCCAGTATTATGGCTACCAGACGGGCTACTTCAAGAGCCGCAGTGAGACGGACCTACAAATTCTTATGAAGTGCCTCACTCTCACATCGTTGGTCCTGTCAAGCTACGGACCCATGAAGGCACTCTACCAGAAATGCGTTAATATATCGCATCAGTTTTAATTGGGAGAAATCAGACTTTAATTTTCGAATGTTGTACATATAGTAAATAAATAAGTAACTACATTTAAAATTAATTTCCCTGACCTATACATTTCCGCACACGGTCAATGGTGTTAATCTAATCGCACAATTTTTGAGTACATTTAATTTATGGATCCCATAAAAAAAACTAGTAAATGCTTTGGTCATCTATCATTAATGACTGGGAAACCCTACTATAATTCCGAACGTGTCAGTCTGTCGTCAAACCTGGGACTCAGTTTAAAAATCCCCAGTAACGGAATTCACAGTTGATTGACAATTGATAAGGGTCTTAATCGTAATAAGTCGACTATCAAATGTCCTCTAGTAAAAAGTAATAATACATAAAATGATATGAACAAAAAATGAGATTAAGCCTTGAAAGTCAGGAATATCTGAAATAAAATCCTCTTATTTGAATTATTCTGATTAAATATATCATATATTCCAAAAACAATCAAGATAACATATTGCAAACAAGAAAGATGGATAAGGTCATCACTTCCTATTTGCCAACTTCAAAGTAATGAATATCAGATCAATGTGTCGAACATCGAGAACTATATGATTGATATTGCAGACTTCCTCCTTAGCAATTTTTATAAAATTGATCGTAGCGAAACCTTCCTTGACAATAAATAACACATGTATTTGCATCGTGCATTTTCTTATATTTATTTAGCAAAATTTATATAATTTATCATAAATCTCTCTCGCAATAAATAATACTTGGCGCGTGTTTCGCGTTGTGTTGTGTGTGTGTAATACGCATATATCAGTTAGCGATAATAAATATGTAGCTAGCATAGGGTGTACAAAAAATACATAGTTTGATTCGAGAATAAAAGGCTGGATTTAACCACTTTTCTTGGATGCGTGAGCCAACTTCCGGTAAAGTAGATAATCTCTGGACAGGAGACCAGTGGTCAGTTTTCAAGTGATGTACTTAGTAACTAATGCACATTTTGGAATTACAAAAACTACAGACAAAAGCATAATACAAATTCGTGGCATGCATCAGTTTAGTTTTCCTCTGTTGTGGCAAGGCATATTATAGCTGGGAAATCCCATCCATATCGTTTGTTCAAAGCTTATTGCTGCGCCGAATGGCAAAGGACACCAGGGCGTGCTCCAGCCGCATGTGATAGGGTAGCTTACGCTGCTCCGCAATGAGCGGTGGCTCATCGCCACCAGGACAACACTGATTGCGGCAGCACTCGCAATGCTCCTCATCAACATCGTACTCCTGCTCTTCTTCCTGTTCCAGCTCGTAGGCCTTCTTGGCAGCCCGCTGCTCGAAGCGCAGATAAAAGGCCAGGCAGACGAATAGCATAAAGACCAGGGCACACATGGCACCGCTGGCAATGCTAGCCTTCTCCAGCATTGGACGCGGCCGCTTGGGCAGGTAGGTGTTGTCAATCTCCTTATACTCGCACCTCTGGCCCATAAATCCGGTGGCGCACTCACAGCTATAGACCGGCAGATCGGCAATCTTTACGGCAAAGCAGTGGGCATCGTTCAAACAGTACCACGCATCAAAGGTCTCCGGGCATTTGTACGTTGGGAATGTGATATTGGGCCTGGGCGTGGTTGTGGTTGTCGTCGTGCGCATTGTAGTACTGGTGACCGGAGCCTGAGTGGGCGGCAAAGCAGTTCCAGACATGGATGAGGAAGAGATCGAGGGTCGCGGCTTGGGCACTGTGCGGCTGGAGCAGGCCTCTAGGTACACCGGATATTCCAGACATCCGATGACCAGCAGTAGGGCGGCAGTTAGCATTTTTCCTCCAACCATTTTGGAATGCATTCGTATAAATTGGTAGCTGTTTCTTCTTTTTGGATTTCTCCTTTTTTGGTTGCAATGTTTTGGTTATTTTTAAAAGCTTACAAACTATTGACTATCACAAAAAAATTAATTAATTTAAAAATATTCGTTGTGGCCCGCTCCGAAGGCGTCGTCAAGATCTCTTTGGAATTGCTGCTTGTGTGGAACGTAAACGTGGAGCTAGGAAGGATGTGTTGTATCTGTGAGAAAGATAAAACTGCATTAGTGACATGTTAAGCACTATATCCGCCGATAACTCTATAACTGTGTACTTAACAAAAGGAAATAAAAACCAAAACTGCATAAAATCATAAATATACAGGTACGTATAAGTATAATAAATAAATGTGTTTTAAATTGTCATGTATGTACTATATATGAACCATTATGTTACATGGGGATTTTAGTTGTTTTAATCTTTTTTTTAGTTTCCAAACCAATTCACTTGTTTTTCGAATTCTCAATTTATGTTGTTTCCCGTTGATTATCCTAGCTCATCAAAGCTGGCTGTGATATGCGTTGGGTATCCATATCACAACCACTTGATGAGGCTTAGATAAGCAACATCGTATGATATTCGATATTAATGGTGCTCCGAAACAATTCCAGCTCCAAAAACCTTTTCACTTCCAATTATAACATGTGAATTTCCATCTCAATTGTATTCCATAGCAAATTTTGAGGGGCTGGCTCTCATGTACAAATGACAAATATGTTGTTTGAATGATGTCTTATGATTGATGTACGATACATTACGCTAAGCTCATCAAAGCTGGCTGTGATATGCCGGCAAAGCGGTAATGCATTTCACAACCACTTTGAGAGCCCAGCATGAATGCGCCAATTTTTATATAGATTTTGATTGTTAAGGATTAAGGATAACATGTTGACTGCGGGAGTTTAAGAATTTTTATAATTTGGATATTAATGTGTCATGTAATGATGTAAAATAAATTATTTTCGGTCTCTTTTTAGTTTATTTGCACTTTGATTTATCAATTTAATTTCGTTTTAAAAAATAAAATTAGATTTTTGTATAAGCTTACGATTTCGTTGGTTGCGTTCGTTGTCTTGAGCATCGCGTCGCTCCTCAAAGCTGGCTGTGATATGAAAAGGCATAAAAAGGCAAACATTTCACAACCACTTTGAAGAAGGACACAATTCTCCTGCGTTTTGACTGATGAAGCTGCCCAATCTTCTTTGACGAGACTGTGGTTCGAATTAAGTGTTTTTCTACGTTCTCACGGCCACGGGCATTTTTTTCGCAACCGCGACACAGTAAATAAATATACATAAATATAACAATAACAAAAAAAGCGACGAGACGGCGAGAACAATTACAACACGATGATGATAATGGTGATCATAACAACGACCATAATGCTCTGATGATGATGATGATGCGAGAGCCTCGCGATAATATACACAAACACATGAGTTCGAGTTGACATGAATGGTGGCGGCGGTGACAGTGCGAATGAATGAAGCTATTTTTCGTACATTTCTACGCGACAGATAGGCCGGCAATCACATCCCAATGATACATAACAACGTGAAATATTTAAATTTCGCTACACTGAGTTTTTTGTACCCTTGCAATATGGCACAAATAATTCATGCAGTGTGACAAAATAAATTATTTTTCTTTACATTTGGTTAATAATCATAACAAAATAGTTTTGTTAATTTAATTTTCATAAATCTAATTTTAAAAAATGAGAAAAGATGAACGAACAAATGTTGCAAATATACCTAAAAGATCTGTTATATTGTATGCACCCTGTGGAAGGGCATGCTTTTGCATGTCAGCGGACAACGCTGTGAAGTAGAAATGCCACAACAAATGGCATTGCTCCCAACAACTACAAATAAATAAATTGCAAAAAGGTAAACATCGCTTTGGCGCCAGGCATTAACAATTTGTCGCAAAAATTTGTTTTTGAATCTTTGGCATTATATGCGATAAGGCGGAGCAGTGACAAACTGGAGGATCGGAATAAATAAGAGAGAGAAAGAGAGAGCTCAAAAACAGTTACTTAGAATGCATGGGTGTGGGGGAATGCTTTACAGTTAACAATTGATGTACTTCTTGCCTCTCGCTCACCCATTCGAAGGCTGCAGCAGCTTATTAAAATTTCCGTTATAAAAATTAAATCCGCCACCACTCTCTGTCGCTCTTATGTACATATGTAAATATATACAGACATGTGATGTGTGCTTATGTGTGAAAGGGAGAAGAAATGCGCGAAATGAAAAAATAAGTTGAATAACCATATAAACTGCGCTGAACTTGTCGGCGTGTAGGTCAAGATCAATCGGAGGCACTTCTTCACCGTTTCTACATTTTTGCGAAAAGAAATCGAAGAAAATTCAACGACTAAAAAAGGTTTCAATGGTTGTGCAACCAACAACAAACATAACAGGATACAAGCATCACAATAATTATACCAACAACACTAAGACCAACTACATTTATATGAACATCAAAAAAGTGTGCATACATACATGACAACAACACCCGCTAATAAAATACTGTAGTGGCTTTGCGCCTCTGCTTCTTCTTCGTTTACAATTTCTTTGGCGAGCTCGTCGTTGTTGTATTTTTCATGTTGCTTTGCTCTGTTTCATTCTTGGGCGTCGCTGCACGAGTTCGTTGGCTCTTTTCGTGTGTGTATGTGTGTGTTTAGAAAACTGTAAGAAAAGCAAAGTGTGTGAAAAATATGGTTAAAGTAAAATTCCAACACAGGAGAAACAGTTTATGCTAACAACTCAACGCTCTCGCTCTCTCCATCTCTTCGGCTTGCATTTTCAAAAATGTACCGGTTTTTATGTTTCGCATTTGCAAAAAGCGCAAAAAAACAAGTCCTACAAGTTCCGCGACAGAGAGGCCGACCGAAAAAAGGCGTGAGAGTAATATAAAGGCACATTTAGCCGAGACTTCAACCATTTGAGGTGTGTTTCGTATACATGAGAGTTTAAGTGCTCGCTCGCTTTCACACTCTCCACACACACACCCAAACGCTCTCCCTCTCTCTCGCACTTCTGCATGAAACGGTGAGAAGGGGATACCTTTTTTTCCGTCGCGTCGATGTGTATATGTGTGCATCACTTGGTACATTTGTGTGCGCGGGAATGTTGTCAAGAATTCTAAGAATTTTGCACAAGCCACAAACAAGACAATGTACGGAAACTCAGCGGCAAACTACGAAAATTTTGTTTAAAATATATATTTAGCAGGAAATACTTTATGCGGCGTTATGAGCGAATCAATAAAATAAGACCGCAGCCCAAAAAGTTCACATCACACACACACAGGCACACGAAAAATGGGGGACTGGAAAAAGAACGCGTGTATGCAGTTAAACACTCCTTTTTGGCCACTTGCAAAACGACACATTTGCATTAATTTTTCATCACAACACAGCTATTTTAGTTCGACTGACCAAATTACCAATTGTTTGCACTAAATTTGGACATCAGTGCAAAACGCCGACAAAATTTGCCGCGCACATTAAAAACACAACCGCACCGCGAGAGAGACAAATACTCTCTGAGCGCGACGGAAAATAAACGCGATGAGCGAACTATTTCGATCCGTCGCACAGTGGCGCCTCTATACTAAGAACCGTTGAAAAAAGTAAAAAAAAAATCAGTCGCGAAATTGTTCCAACAGAAAATTTTCCAAGTATTACGAATATAACCAAAATAATTGTAGGATTTTTTGAAGAAGATATGAGCATTTAAAGTTAAAAGTAGTTAGTTTTTAGCCAAATAAAAAAATTTAAGTTAGTCGACATTCATATTACATAAAAATTTTATTACCTGTCTTCAAGGCTTTCACTTTAAAATATAGATCCATTTATCGAGTGTTATCCAAACTAAAAACGGCTGTTTGGTTTGGACTTGTACAGTGTTCATACTAAGAATCTGTTGATGTGGTATGTGTATGTGTATGTGTATGTGTATGTGGTATATCTCTGGGCATTTTAATTCGCAAAAATAAATAAAATCTAATGATTATAGTCCAGAATATCTAAATCTACAATTAAAATTGTAGAATATAATAAAAAGGCTAAATCTCAAATTTTTAAAATCTGAAAATCTTTTGAAAAGTGCAAGAGTTATAATTTTTAATTTTATTAATTTCTCTTTCGTTCCTATGGGAGCTATATGATATAGTAGTCCGATTTTCAAAAAATTTAACACAAAATTGTTGAATAATAAAAAATGGCTATATCTTAAATTTGATTAAATTCTGTTAACTAAAATGTATGTATGTAGCCCAATATAGTCGCCCAATCCGGCCCGATCCGGCCTGTTCCAACATATGTACATATGTATATACGAGTGAGAGTATAAAGAAACTAACTACAAAGTTTCATTCGGATAGCTTCAAAACTGAGAGACTAGTTTGAGTACAAACGGACAGACGGACATGGCTAGATCGACTCGGCTATTGATGCTGATCTATTATATATATCCTTTATATGGTCAGAGGTGTCTCCTTCACTGTGTTGCAAACTTTTGACTGAAATTATAATACCCTGCAAGGGTATAAAAATCTAACTAAAAAATAATGTTTGTTATATGTATGTATGTATATATTTTTTTCGGTTCTAATTTGTTTTTATTTAAGCAAATAAATACAAATAAAGCAAAAAATGAAATAAAAAACTATTTTAAAACCCCGTTTTGTTTAAGAAAAGTATATTTTTCACTTTAATACTATATAAAATAGCGAATAAGTGGGCGTGGCAAATTGTACAACAATTACCTGCCAAATTCCGTTTAAATTATTTGATTAACGATTAACTATGTATTTGGTTCAAAAGATGATTTTTGCAACATAAAATGATAAAAGGCTCTACTGTGCGTCGTACGCTGGAAAAAAATTGGGAACATGTTCTCCGCAACAGGGTGGTTTCGGGAGAAAGCAGAGTGCCGCTCTCTCACTCACTCTCGAACTGCTAATCGGAATTCGCCAAAGTTGAAAGAGTTGCAACTTGCAAGAGTGGTCTTGCTCTCTCGCTCAGCATGTCTCTCAGAAATCCAGTCGCTCAACATGGAGGGAAAAATGCGGCACAATAACAATGCGGCGGGCTTTGGAGAGCTCTTGTCCTGTGTATAGTTTTGTTTTTGTTTTGGTGCTGCCAGAAGATTTCGCACGATTCAACATGTTATTGACACGCCGCCGACGACGACGCCGCCGCCAAGTTTCGAGTTTGGCGGAGCGAAAGCACACAAACAAGAAGCGACGTAGGGCGGCGGTAGGAACCACTAGGACAGGGGCGTGGCACGAGAGGAACGAGGGAGGGGCAGGTAGCCGGCCAAACGGGACGAACAGGATGGAGTCCAGACGAGTTCAGGCGACAAAGCTGCAGATTTCATGGAACTAGCCGAAGGTTGACGATGCGCAGGCGCGCACGTAAACAACATTCCATTCCATTCGGGAAATTTCTTTATTGCCTTTTGCCGCTCGCTCGGGAAGCGCGCCAAAAATAAAAACCACCAGCAAAGAATTACTAAATGGCAAAGTTGCCAGACCCGTTCGATATTGGCCTTAATTTAAAAAAGTTGCATTTTCAGTTCACCTTTATTTTACAAAGTAGTGAATATTTATAATAATAAAAATGCATTAAAAAAAAACTGTTATTGTAGATGTTCATACAAGTAAGTTAACGGTCTCGGTTTCTGGGGTAAAGAGATTATGCTACATTGTTTTAGAGAAGCCAGTAAAGTATCCCCCCTATTGTAAGAGTCTCAACAATAATCGAACAGGTTAACAGTGGTATTAAAAAATAACTTACATAAAACACAATTTTTTTAAAATCATATTTAATTTAAAAATTAATCTGCAAGCAAATAAGCTTAATCTTTGCTGGCACATGACACTTTTAGTTACGGAAGTTCGCCTGCATGTATAAAAATGCTACAACTACTCGTTTCCGGTGGTGCGGTCCGTCTGTAAAGTGGGACGTCGACACTGTTTCACGCTGACTTGACGTCACAAACGACACAGCGCAACAGCAGCAACCTGGCACAACGATTTCTGGGTTAGAGCGCATCACAAATGTTTTTTTGATTAAGGAGAGATTTACCAATTCAATCGACTTAGTTTGCATTTAACACTCGGATGTCACAGGTTCAACTGTACAACAAGAACAACTGTACACCACACAGGAACACAGCGGTCACGGGGATGGGCGAAATGTTAATGGATTGCCCTAGGACTGCCCCCATTCCGTTGCCATCTTTGTCGCTACGCTTTTGCACTTGTGCATTGCATTGCACAAGTTCTCCGCTTCTTCGCCAACTTCTTCCCCTTTTTGCGGTGTTGTTCTGTTGCTGTTTTTGATGCTACAATTGTTGCACTTGTTGTGTGCGGTTAGGACATTGAACCACAGAACCGACACAGAATAGCATGGCATGCAACTTGGGGCTGGCAAGTGTACACCAGAGGTCGGAAAATTAGCAATGTACTTATTGTTCTTAAGAGATGTTTAAATATTTACCTCGGTATTTTATAATTTTAATACTTTAAAAAGTGGTACAATATTTCGAAATATAAGAAAATTGTTATAAACAAAAATTGCATTAAAAATCTGACATCGTCCTCTTGAATCTTTATATATTAAATGGACAAAAACTAAACTGGTTCCCAGTTTCGCATTAAGCTTTTACGAACATTAATTCAAAAATGCATACAACTTTTCGAATTTTAATGAAAAATATAATATAATATAAACATTTGTATAATACCGAAAATGTAATATTTAATTTAATTTTTGTTGTGTTCTTACCATGATAACAAGCTTATATTTTATATACAGTATGTCAAGAAACTGTTTACACACTGACAATTTAAAATATTTTTTGACTTTGCATGGAAAAATTACGCCTTTTTTTAAATGTTTTTGATTTTTTTTGAATGCACAACTAATAAATAGGGTATTTTTAATGAGTATGTACAAAAACAAAAACAAAACAGCCAAAGGAACAGCTTCAAAGCAACAACAAATGAGTTTACACATTTTTGGCACTGTCAAGAAACTCTTTACACACTTTAGTTTTCCATTCTGTTTTGATCCTTCTTGAGAAAAAAACGGTACTTTATTGTTACCTATGCTTTTGCTCGCATCGACATGGATGCATTCTTTTCATTTTTTATTGTGAAATTTGCAAAGCACACATCAAAAAGCGACAATATCAATTTTTAAAAATGCCTGGAGCTAGATTGACCTTTGACGTGGTCCAGTTGGCTTATCTTAACCACCAACTTGGAAAATCTGCAGCTGAGTTGGCCGACATGTTTCGGGTATCCCGGAAAACTATTTACAATGTTTTAAATCGGGCTAAAATTGAAGGAAAGCTGGATGAAAAGTCTGGAGGAGGTAGGAAGTTGAAGATAGACAAACGGGCAGAACTCCTTATCACGCGTAAGGTGCGTCATAACCCCCAAATCTGGATCAGAACCCTTGCCAAGGAGTTGGAGGAAGAATGTGGCGTAGTCGTTTCGCACGAAACCGTGCGCCAATTGATTCTACGGAACAAATACTCATCAAGAGTTGCGCAAAAGATACCGCTGATATCCGTAGTAAACATTCAGAAGCGGTATTTTTTCGCTATGGAGATGATCAGCAAGCCGGAAAATTACTGGGATAACGTCATCTTTTGCGACGAAACTTAAATTATGCTGTATTACAACGATTGTCCTTCCAGAGTTTGGCGTAAGCCGTTAATCACATTAAACCAGCGCAACATTGTGCCTACCGTAAAATTTGGCAAATTATCGGTTATGGTTTGGGGGTGTATAAGCAGCAAGGGAGTCAGGGAGCTCGCATTCATAGAAAGCACTATGAATGCTGAGCAGTATCTCTCCATACTCCAATCAAATTTGAGACAGAGTGCTAAAAAATTTGGCTTAATGGACGAAGAAAAGCCGAAATTCAAATTTTACCAAGATAATGACCCCAAACATAAGAAGCAAACTTTGCGGCCATGGCTCCTGTATAACTGCCAAAAGGTTATAGATACACCTCCTCAGAGCCCTGACATGAACCCCATTGAAAATTTGTGGGTTCATTTAAAGAAAAAAGTGGCTAAAAGGCAACCGAGGAATCGAGCAGACCTCAAAACTGCAGTGCTGGAAGAGTGGCAGAGAATTCCATTGGAAT